TGTCTTCATTTCGTCCGTCTCATCTTTCTCACCCGAATCAGCCACTCACCCATTCCCACGATTCCTGAAAGCAGGCTGAAGAGGGCCTTCCGCCCTACCTTCCGGCATAGCCCGGAGAGACTGCCCGCCCACCAGCATTACTGGCTGGTGGGAATGAAACACCCAAAAGTTAAAAAAAAAAACAAAATCTTCGATTTTTGCTTATTCCAAGAAATGGATCAAATAATCTGTATTAAATTTTGTATGAAATATGGAAATAAGTGCGCTGACTCATTCCGAATGTGGCATATGGTGAAGCTACCTAGGGCCGAAGCAACGTTTATCGGTGGTACAAAATGTTCTCACAGGACCGAGAAGATGTATACGACGAAGAGCATGCCCGACGCCCAAGCACGTCAACAACAGACGAAAGCATTGATGAAGTGAAGAAAATAGTATTGGCTAATCGTCGAATCACCGTTAGAGAAGTTGCTGAGGACCTAAACATATCGATTGGCTCCTGCCATTTCCATTTTCACCAATGATTTGGGCATGAGACGGATCACCACGAAATTCGTACCAAAATTGCTCAATTTCGACCAAAAACAGCATAACATTAACATTGTTAAGGAACTGCTGGACTCGACTACCCAAATTTGCTCCAGAGGGTCATAACTGGTTACGAATCATGGGTTTATGGTTATGACATGGAAACCAAAGCTCAATTATTCCAATGGAAGCTGCCGCACGAGCCAATACCTAAAAAAGCACCCCAAGTTAGGTCGAATGTGAAGATTTTGTTTACATTCTGTAGCGATGGACCTTCAGTTGGACCGGCGCAAAGTAGAAAAGAACAGCACTAGACCAGAAAAGGAAGGAGATAACTTTCGGTCAAACTCTTTACCGGTGAGGAGCGTATAATCCGTACAGTACTGCACGGAAAAATTGACCATTTTATTCACTACTATTGCATTGCTCAAATGTGCTGTTATTGGTACCAATTACTACTGAAAATACCAACGAGATGTTTACTTATATTTGAAGACATATTAAAGGCTTTAACGCTTGTTTTCGACTCGCACTACTTTTCATGATTGAACAAAACTTTTGGCAGGTACTGTATGAAAAAGTACGTTTAATGAACAAGAGTCGAGAGTATAATGAGCCTACTTACTATTTTGCCAGCGCGCATCCAAGACATTGGAAGGGGAACATCGCTAGAGAAAGTAAATGAAGTACTTATAACATTTTTCTTCGATTGCAGGGCCGTGGACCATCATAGTTCTTGCCACAGGGTAGCACGCTCAATAAGGAATATTACCTGTAAATTATGCGCAATGTGCAATCCGTCAGAAATGCTCGGATTTGTAGAAGAAGAGGCCCTTGAAAGGACAACGCTACGCTACGATTGAGGAGATAAAAACGTCATCGAAGCAGAAGTTGACAAGATCACAAAAAATTATTTTTTGAAGTGCTTCGAGGATTGGAAAAAACGTTGCCACAAGTGTGCAATATCTGATGGGGACTACTTTGTAGAGGACAAAATAGATATTCATGAAAAAATAAATAATTTTTGAAGAAACTCAAAATTAGCGATACTTTTTGAACAGAAATCGGTATAACAGAATCTTTGACTTTTTTATATTTACTATTTACAAAATAAAAAATAGATTTAAGAATTATCTAAATAGGTATAAAAACAATATAATGCGGAAAAAAGTATTTAAAAGAGATAATAGAAATTGGTAGTTTGCATTTTTCATTTAATCTGTCGATTCCATTATTTGCAGACGGTTAGCGAAATCGTCACGTTTTTAATGAAAACCGAGATTTTATTGTTCCCTCCAACAGATTGTATACAGATAAATTTTTACTGTACACAATTGCTCGTTTATTTGCACAGTTCTTTTGTTTTTTCTTCGTTCACGCGGTACATAAATCGGACTTTCGCGATGTTTACCACGAGGGAATTACCTACGTTCGCTTTTCCGTAAGTTTGCTCAAACGCTTTCAGGCAAGATGAACATACATGCAATCCATCGGGGCTGACATGAAATTCGTGTTTGCCAACCGAATTCTACCGTGGACCAGTTGATCCCAGTTGGGAAATAAAATTAGCCTTTTTTTTTAAGACCCTCCGAGAAAAGCTGTTCTGTCCGTACCTATTTAATTTGAATTTTCTCAAACAGAATAATACAATATTTAAAGTAAGTAATATAATCATTAATTCTTCAAAATAATCAGAAAAAATAAGTACCGAAAGACAACACGTATATGTAAACTTTTGAATATTTAAATTGATCATGTCATTTAATTTCATCATCATCATAAGGTCATCAGTCCTAAGACTGATTGGACACGTACCTCCACTCTTTCCTGGGTATTAAAGAGNTTGTTCACATTTTTATACTTCACTAAACCTGTACTTTCCAATAATGCCTAATGGCATTTCAGTTTCACTTGCTAACCGCATGACATCTAACATTATTGCTCCTTCTTAATTACATTTTCATGATGTGTTACTTTGGTACATTTCGGTCTATGTCCTTTTGCTGTATTTCTAAGTAAAGACTATTTTAGATTTCACCACCCTTTGGTTGGTTCCCTACCTTAGTTTAGCCACTTCTAGATCCTCCCTTATTTTTCTTTCTAACAATTAACTCCTCCTTTTAAGTCTAATACTTAATCTTCAAGAGTACAATCAGTTCCTCTACAACACTACAACTACAAACTAGATCCGTAATTAACCAGTCAATCTGATAGAGTATTTTATGAAATTATATCGTTATAGATAATTGTGCGTTTTATTAAATAACACTTCTCACTAATAAACCCCAAAAATGTATTGTCTTCAATCGTAAATAAGTCCATTGCTTTTATTTCAAAGGGTTTTGATGTTACCATAGTTCCTTTGTTTAGTGGTTTATAAGGGTGTCGCTCATACTTAGATTTTAGGCATACGTCGCATTTCTTTAACTTGGGATAATAAAATTTTGTTCTAAAATGGAAATATTTCTCTTCGATACCATTATGATTAGTATCATGGCTGTTCGATATTGGTTCAAAGGCTTTTTCTCTATTATAGGCTGTTAAGTCCAGTAGGGTTTTCGTAAATGTAAGACTTTGTTTTATTAATTACTAATAGTGGTCAATGTTAATATGCAACATCAACATCAAGTTGAAATCACTTTTCGATTTTGAATCACTACAAATTTCTTCAAATTAATGAGGAATACATTTTTGTTGCTGTTGTCACCCCCCCGCCGGGAATCGAACCCGCGACCTTTGGCTTTACTCACCAATGCTCTGACCAACTAAGCTACGAGAGATAACTACAGCAACCACGACAAATCTAGCCTACTAGGTTAACGATCGTCGATTTTATTATTAATGTAATTATAAGTATATACTAGATATATGAAACTTAAGACATTGTTTTATTAATTACTAATAGTGGTCAATGTTAATATGCAACATCAACTTGAAATCACATTTTGAACCACCATAAATTTCCTCAAGTTAATGAGGAAAATATTTTTGTTGCTGTTGTTACTCCCCGCCGGGAATCGAACCCGGGACCTTTGGCTTTACGCACCAATGATCTGATCAACTAAATTTAGGAAACTTGAAATCATTTTTAAAAAAGCATGTCAAAATTGAGATTATTACAAATTACGTTATAAATTCTACTATTTCTACGGCAAATTCAGTCATTTACATTCGAAAATAGTAATTTTCATTCTTCTCCGTGTATTAAATCGAAATCAGGAAGATTTTTGGCAAAGTTATTTCATTACTAGAGGAAAGAATTAGAAATAATTTTTGTCCTCTAAGAGGAAGGACAATTTTAAAAAAGTTGCATGACGAAGAAAAGAATACGGAAGAATTTTCAACTAAAATTAAAAAAAAGATTTTTATAATGAAATCAATGACTATTTGAAAATGTGGATTGAACCGTTTGGGGATCTAAAAGTTTTCGACTGGATTGATCTAACAGGGTCTGATCTGCTAAATTGGAACAACATTGAAAAATCTTTGGTCTTTTTAAAAATCATAACATTGAAATCGACGACGAGTGGGTTAATTTGAAAAATTTTAGCACAAATTTGAATTTTACTCAAAAGGACGACAGTTTAAACGCCTTGTGGCTAACATATTTCAAGCAATGCATTTCTGAGGAACAGCATGCAGAACTACGGAAAGTGGTTGATTATGTATTTAGTATACCGGGTCATAACGCTAATGTCGAGAGAGTCTTTTCCCTCATAAATTCACAGTGGTCAAAAGAAAGAAATCGATTACTGCCAATAACAGTAGCTGCAATAATCAAAACTATATATAACATAGATATGAAGTGTGACTAATTTTATAATTATTTGCTTACTCAACCACAAATACTGAAGGAAATTAATGGGATTGAAAAATATAGTAAAAATTAATAAGTTTATAATATTAGAATGATACTATAACTAACCAAAGTTTATAAAATTTGTTACAAACTAAAGTGTTTGTTATATATTTTAATAACTAGTTTTCAACTCGTATTTCATCCAAATACTTTTATTAAAAAACGTGATTATTTTAATTAAATGCGTCCTGTTTTTAAACTGAATTGTCCTGGTTTTTCCAACTTCAATTCCTGGTTTTTTAAATTTGAGGTTGGCAACCCTAGTGTATTTAGACTTATTTTAACAACGCTAATGTCTACTACCGTAAAGTAGCATAGATAACTTCTAATGAAGACTTGTCGAAAACCAACTAATAGTAAATCCTAGGCAATATTACCCACAAATTGATGCATTTTTTACTATGTGCTACAAGCATTGTGAGCTATCCAACCATGAAAGAATTTCTAAAGTCGATTGGGTAGTTCGTGAAACTTCCCTAATTGCAATTAGAAAGTCATTAATTTGAGAGAACTGACATTCATAATATATTGCCCATTAATTATTTTCTTTTTTCAATTACAAAAACGAACAGGTATCTCTAATAAATTTAAGCGATAGGTACGGTAGACTAACCTTCCTAAACGTTTCTTCGTTTCTCTAGAATTCCAGTTGCAGAGGAATCTGTCTTCAGCTACATTTTTCAGTTAAATTCTATTGTTCAAAAACACTTAAAGTCGTCATAGTCATTTTCAAATCCCGATAGATCGATATTTGACATATTAATACACATATTCTACTCGTTAGATTAACCATTCTTCCTAAATATTCCTTATTTTCTGTGTTATTCCCAATGCAAAGGAATCTGTCTTCAGATGCATTTTCTCAGTTTAAGTCTATTGTTAAAAAGCACCGCGAGAGTCGTCATTGTCACTTTTAAATCCCAATAAATTGATATTATTGACGCTTTGACGAGTAGATTAACCATATTTCCTAAATATTCCTTCGTTTCTGTACAATTCCTCTATCATCTGCTGAATTTTCTTAATTCAATCCTATTGTTCAAAAACACTGTCGAATTCGTCATAGAGTCATCGTTCCTATTAAATTCCGATATATCAATATTACTGACACGAAACTTTTTGTTTTATCACCACCGCGATCGCGTACAGAAACTATTACAAATACTGAAATTTATTACTTTCCAAGGACTCTGCTTATCCCTTAGATCACGCACAAGAAGCCTGCGCAGAGGTTTTACAGTATTACTTAATTTAAGATGTGGTTACACGGCCGCGGCGTGTAGAATGGCGATCGACTTGCGGCATGTTCAGCCCGTTACACCATGCGAAAATCGGCCATTCACGGTAAGTGTACCATGAATGGATCATAGAACGCACCTTCCCGCTCCAGGCCGCGCTAACCCATCACGAGACATCGGCAAACCACTCGCTGTGTAGCAGGTCCTTTAGGAGGCAGAATTTGTTGTAGTAAGTCGGTAAACATTCCGATAAAAAGTTGTTTGACGAGATGCGATGATGTGATAACAGATATGAAAACCGAATATGAATAAACAAGCACATTTGCGAAGCATCTTCATAAAAATAGTTAAAAATATCAAATTTATACTTTGGAAAACATACCATTAATTTTAAGCAAAAATATACTTTCATCTGTATCAAATTAGATGTTTCAAAACAGAATGTTTAGATTTAGAAAATTAGTAAAAATAGGTTTGCAAAATACCTATAATTTCTTATTATATTAATAAGTAAATTTTTTAATTACAAACAAACTAGATGAATAGATGAGCAGTTACGTTTCGCCTCAGTTAGTGGTGATAGATATTAGGATTCCTCAGATACTTATAAAACTTACCTGTACCCGACTGGAAATTAGTTCAGTGTAGGATCCGATCCGGATCAGGTTTGCCTGAAGACTAATCAGGCTTGCTAATCCCCATATGATTAAAAATCGTCACGTCATATTTGATCCGAACAGGATCCACTTAAAAGATCCATACCGAATCTGTTCCAAAAATTCATGCTGGATCTGATTCAAAGATCCATGCTTTAAACAACATACTGGAACCGTAATAAGATTCGTAGTATTAGATTCTGATAAGGAACTGATCAGGTGACTGAACCAAGAGATAGGATACTGTACTATGATCAGAAACTGATCAGATAGACGGATCAAGGGAAAGGATACTATACTTTGATCAAATCCTTGTCAGAAGGCTGAACCAACGGATAGAGTACTGTGCTTTGATCAGAAACTGATCATACACTCGAATCAAAGGAAACATTATTGTACGCTGATCAGTTCCTGATCAAGTGACAGAAACAAGGGATGGAGTACTGTACTCTGATCAGGAACGATTCAGATGGACGTATTACGGAAAATCCGATTCGGATCTGATCATAATCCGGGTTCCCAAAAATAATTTCCAGTCGGGTACCTGTACCTTGTAATTCCAACACCTTTTTTTCAACTTTTTAGACAGTTCTGCTTGAAATCGGCAGAGGAAAACTCTGGATACTAACGAAGAACTATATTCAGGATATTTCCAACATTCTTCACCAATAGTATAGAAAACAGAGAAAGACGACTTTTTAAAGATTTCGAAATCACAAATGTAAATGCAGCGTTAAAATTAGCATCCGCCATTCAATGGTGTTAATGATATAAAAATTTGGATACATATTCATTCTAATGAAGAGAATCCAAACAATTAATTATCATCATTCCACATGCCTGAGCAATAATGTTCAACAAATAAAGTCAGTTACTTCTATTATGTCCGTTTTTCGTCTATCTTTTCCTAAAGATTCCTAAATGGAGGCTAAAGAAGCGTTTCCGCAGCTTTGGACTACGTTGTAAGTCGTAAGGACTGCCTGCTGCTGCTAATGAAAAGCATTTTTCTATTGGATTAATCCCAACAAGCCTCATTTTATAGGGTTGTTCGGAAAGTCATTTCGTTTTTTTTTGTGGAAATGAAAGACAGTTTTCATACAATAAACAAATACTTTATTAAATTATATATTGACCGTTCTGGTCCAACACCTTTTGCCATCTTTCTGGTAGTAGCATAATTCCACGCTCATAAAATTTTTGGTCTTTGCTGGCAAAAAACTGATCGAGGAGGTTTTTGACCTCCTCATTTGAGGTGAAGGTTTTACCGTCTAAAAAATTTTGGAGTGACCGGAACAAATAATAATCCGATGGTGCCAGGTCTGGAGAATATGGTGGGTGTAGCATTGTATCCCATTCAAGCTGTAAAAGCTTTTGGCGAGTGACCAAACTTGTGTGAGGTCTCGCGTTGTCTTGGTGAAACACTACACCTTTCCTGTTGATTAGTTCTGACCTTTTCTGTTGAAGTGCATCATTCAGTTTGTCCAGCTGATGACAGTAGACTTCCGAATTAATCGTTGTGTTATCCGGTAAAAGCTCAAAAAAAACGATTCCTTTAAAATCCCACCAAACAGACAGCATCACCTTTTTTTGGTGAATATCGGCTTTGGAAATGGTTTGAGCCGGTTCATCTTTTTTGCTCCATGACCTCTTGCGTTTGACGTTGTTGTATACAACCCATTTTTCGTCCCCAGTGATGATGCGCTTCAAAAACGGATCATTTTCGTGACGTTTGAGAAGCGAATCGCAGACGTCAATGCGGCGACACAGATTTCTCTCTGTGAGAACATGGGGAACCCATACATCGAGCTTCGAGGATAATCCCAGGCCTTTCAAGTGGTCATAAACTGTTGAATTTGATAAATTTAACCTCAATCCGATCTCACGTGTTGTTATTCGCCGGTTCACATCAACTAATGCCTTTATCGCGTCTTTATCAGCTTCAACCGGCCTTCCCGAACGTGGTGCATCTTCGACATCAAAATTGCCGGATCGAAATTTAGCGAACCAGTTCTGGCACTGGCGTACTGTCAACACACCTTCTCCATACACATCAGTCAATTTCTTTCTGGCTTGAACAGCATTTTTACCCTTTCTGTAGTAAAACAGTAAGATATGTCGAAAATGCTGCTTATCGCTCTCCATATTTAAAAGGGCACCAACCAAAAACTACTGCGTAGAATTAATTGGAATTTTTCACGCACAAGCCTTGCTATAAGAGCTCTCAAAGCATATAAAAATTCTACGGCTTAAATGTGAAGTTGAGTGCAAAAGAATACAATAAAATCCTCTGTCGGGAAAAACGAAATGACCTTCCGAACAACCCTATAATACCCAGGACGGTAACATACTTATACTGAAGTAATGACATTGAAAAAATCGTTCCAAAAGCTTTTCACTTTCCAAAAAGTGTGCACCAGTTCGCGGCTGGCTATAGATACTTATCTTCCCTCTGAAACAATCGTGAAATATCGACAAACTGTTCCTCGGCTACGGAAAAGGGATATGTGCCGAAACTCTACAATTTTAACAATTAATCATCCACATGGGTACGTATATCTGTATCTCTGTGTGTGTGTGTGGGTATACGACGTATTGGTTAGAGCAACGGCAGGCGGTCGAAAAGTTAATTCTGTCCAACTAAACTTTTTCAAAGCGATCGGCCAACACGCCAAAAGCCGCCAGAATGGCAATCGCAACTCCACTGGTTAAACTTTGGTAATTTTGAAGCTTGTTCTGTATGGAGAAACTTTTGCCGAAGAAATCCATATTCACCAGTCAGCCATCGCGTCCAACTTTAATACATTTCCTCTATTTCTAACACATTTGTCACCATCTAATTTTGAAAAGTGATTTAGTCCCATACCTAGTCAAATTCAAACAGACAAACAAACATACCCTACAGAAAAATTAAAATTCGATATTCTGTTTATGGCTTCGTACCAAAAGTTGTAAAAAAGAAGAACTAGCGGCAAGTTGCGAATTAAATATGGGAATATTCCATTAAGTACACGCAATCGTCTAAGGGCGACATCTATCTTTTGAAACGTGGTATATGATATAAAAAAATTCATACAAATAGTCCACTAAATGCAATTTAAATCTTTTGGGGGTTGGTACACCTTCTTCCTTTGGTCAATTAGAAAAGTAAGTATATGTTCGAATAAACGTGCGGCTGAAGAGGGCCTTAATTAGTCCTAAAACGGCCTGAGGTAGAGGGGTTTTTGTCGGTAGGTGTGAGGACTTCTTCCTCGGGAATCCGACACTACCCAATCGTAGGGACGGCTGGGTGTCTTTTGAAGATTTCCCTTTCACGAAAACATAAACAAAAAGAGGAAATTGTAAATACGTAGCCATACTACCGTTTTTTATCCCCCTTTCTCCTCGAAAATCACCTATAGTATATGCCAAGACCCCTCCCCCCTTTAGTTTTCACGTAGTCTATCTATCTTCTATCTATATACATAAAAATGAATTGCTGTTCGTTAGTCTCTAAATAGGTATAAAAACAATATAATGCGGAAAAAAGTATTTAAAAGAGATAATAGAAATTGGTAGTTTGCATTTTTCATTTAATCTGTCGATTCCATTATTTGCAGACGGTTAGCGAAATCGTCACGTTTTTAATGAAAACCGAGATTTTATTGTTCCCTCCAACAGATTGTATACAGATAAATTTTTACTGTACACAATTGCTCGTTTATTTGCACAGTTCTTTTGTTTTTTCTTCGTTCACGCGGTACATAAATCGGACTTTCGCGATGTTTACCACGAGGGAATTACCTACGTTCGCTTTTCCGTAAGTTTGCTCAAACGCTTTCAGGCAAGATGAACATACATGCAATCCATCGGGGCTGACATGAAATTCGTGTTTGCCAACCGAATTCTACCGTGGACCAGTTGATCCCAGTTGGGAAATAAAATTAGCCTTTTTTTTTAAGACCCTCCGAGAAAAGCTGTTCTGTCCGTACCTATTTAATTTGAATTTTCTCAAACAGAATAATACAATATTTAAAGTAAGTAATATAATCATTAATTCTTCAAAATAATCAGAAAAAATAAGTACCGAAAGACAACACGTATATGTAAACTTTTGAATATTTAAATTGATCATGTCATTTAATTTCATCATCATCATAAGGTCATCAGTCCTAAGACTGGTTGGACACGTACCTCCACTCTTTCCTATCCTGAGCTAAACTTCGCATTTCCCTAAAACTAGAACAGCCCACATCCTTAACTATTTGCGAANCTGAATAGGGATACGTAGCGTGGGGAACATAAGAAGATGCCTCGCTGGCTTTATAAACTGGTTGAGGAGCCTGACTTGTAGGCGATGGTAGTTGATTCTCTGATTTTACCAATGATATATGTAACTTTAAACGGTGTAATGAAAAGATTTAAATTATTACGCAGTTTCTTTTAAAATATTATTGTACTAGCAATACTAATGCAGTATAGACAAATTGTTATTGTTTGTAATCAATTAAATTAAATTAACAGTTTAAATGTATTAGGTAGGTGTAATATATATATCATTTATGTACTCACATTTGTTGCATGTCTCTCTATAAGCTATCGAAATAGGTTGGACGCAAATAATGACTTTATTGACTGTAGCATCGTGTTCTAAAAGCGGTTTGTGGAAACATAGAGTTAGGGCCCTTTAATTACCACATCCCAATTTAATATTGGTGAGACGATTAGCCAATTCCAATTTAATCCTGTGCTATATTATGGACTCATCTCATTCTCGCTTAATGTGTTCTACAGCGTCTAGCATAACAATAATCTACGTTTATTAAAAAATGTTCGTCTCATCAAAAAATTTATTAATATAAAATATAATTTATAACATCAAACCACTTCATTTATAAATAAAATGAAAATCCAATGGGGTTTTCGTAACTAATAGTTTCTAGAGTCTGCAGTTTAGAAAAACTTTCAAAATTGGAAAATATATATATGGAGATAGATATTAATTATTGTTCTCAAGTCAAATCAAAATAACCTTAATAATACAAACAGAAACAATGTTGAAAGGTTGTATGTTAATAAGAAGCCTTAACTAACTCGTAATTATTTACCAATAAGGTTTCTACAGTTTATACATATATAATATTCATATTTTTAGTATTTACATAATACCTACAAATAAAATAATAAAATTGCATGAAATTTGTGCATTATTCTAATACTAACACTGGTAAAAAGTCTTGCCATACTTCAGGTAATAATCTAAATTCTGAAAAAAGTAACATTTAACATTTATAAACAAAAATCTTTTATATTTACTTTTTTACACGTTTTTTCAAATTTATCCTAAAGAGTTTTGCAGCTATAGATTGATGATGTCAAAGTTCGTTCACATATCACTTTCTACTTAATTTTTCCCACCCTTTTGAATCCTTTCATACTTCTCAACAGCATCTTGAAGGAAAACTGCTGCTCGTGCGACCCTCTCGGGAGTCATGAGTGCCCTTACGCTGTCCTTATCTATGCCTCCGAAACCGTTGTACGAGATGGTACAAAGTTGCGACACGGAGCAGGCCAACGAGTGAAAAATACCACCGACAATTAGCAAAACGACGCCCCCTACAAGGAAGAGACCAACTTTTGAAAGAATTCCCAACGCTGACTGAAGAAGCGCCTGGAAAAAAAGAAACCAACAACAAATTAGCGATCACTACATAAGTCAAATAAATTTATTATTATAAACAAGTTCTTCCCCCCTATCAGTCACTGTGAGCTCGAAACTGTTGGCACCATTGCTTCAAGTGGTCGAAATTCACTTTTGTGGACAATTTGTTTAATCACCTCCTTTGTGTTAACAAAGGTTTGAAAAATTAAATATGAAGGAATTGTTTGTAAATAGGTATGCAACACATCGTACACTTCAGCATAAGAAATTGCTAATAGTAACTACGTAATACTACTTTGCCTTGTGCTGACAGCACTCATAATTTCTTTTATATATAACATCACAAATAGATAATAAAGATCCGCATAATAAAAAAGAAAAATATGTCATATTAAACAATAAAAGAGTTTCTTTTAATTAAATTCGAAGGGATTTCGCGCTTCCGTTTTCGTATGGACGAACATTAGATTTTCGTTTCTTATTTTTGGAGAAATAATGGAAACGGCTTTTATAAAAATCTGTTCACGTCTGCAAATGTAGCGGAATCACACAAAAAAGAGTCATAAAAAGTCATAGGAGAGAATATCCGTTGGAATCCAGAGTGTTTTAGAAAGTCAATTTGTCGATGAACAGAGATCAGTCCTTTCGGCCAAAAATGGCAAATATTGCTTTCGAATGGATATTTCACACACCCCAGCACTATTTATTACCTCCTTTTGCATATTTACCGCGATATTCGACTTCGATGGAATTTTCGAATATTTATGGACTAATAATATGAAAAAGAGCGCCTCTTTCATCGCCTCATAAAAAAGCGAAATGTCTCTTAAACTGTTTCTATTTAAAAAAAGCTTTGTATACATAATCATAAACAATTCTGTAAATTTTTGAATCTAAAAAACTACAAAGCGAATTTTATAATCTTTTTTTATCCGGTCTTTTCTTTATGTTTGGTTTTGAGTTTTTATTGAGAAAATCAGATTGATTCCTATATATTACGAAAACCATATCATTAGTATATTTCGGTTTAAATATTATAAAACTATGGGTGCACAGAAGTGGAACTACATATAACCTTAACCTTTAGCCTCTTATCTCTCCTACTTATAAGTTAAGTTATAATATTTAATTAGTGTGTAAAATTCCTAAACTCCTAATAAATAATAATGAGTTTAACTACTTACTTGTCCTGGAGTTATAATCCCCTGGTTCTTATCCTCAAGGGATGACGGACCGAAGCCGTATTGAAGCGCAGGGACAATGTACCCATCCAAGGGACCGTACGAGTCTGAATAGGGATACGTAGCGTGGGGAACATAAGAAGATGCCTCGCTGGCTTTATAAACTGGTTGAGGAGCCTGACTTGTAGGCGATGGTAGTTGATTCTCTGATTTTACCAATGAAGCCGGAAAGGCCAAAAAAAGTAAAATAAAAGCGGGGAAGAACCTACAAAATTAAATACAGGATTGTTTTATTATGTTATGTATAAAACAATTGCAAATAATCTTAATAACAGAAGTTTGATTTCAAAATTATTTAATGCCTACACAATTATTAATATTAAATGGAACGTTATCGTAATAGCACGTATGTATATTTGTACTTACATTTTTAAAGCCAGGAAGGACTAGGATGTTCACAGAACAAATATTTGTCAGACACAGAACCCTTATCAGTTTTCAGGTGCCTTTATACCAAACCTCCATCAACCCTTGTCAGGTAGACAAGGTGAAGATAATGAACGTTGTGAATTTTAAAATTCCTTAGAATTTTATTACATGCATCCATTTTACGAGGGGTTTTACCACAATATGACCGCCACTATACAGAGGCAAGTCCAAAAATATACTTACTACACATTTAATCATTTTGTTATTACTCAACATCACAATTAATTTTTTTGATTTTCATATAAAAGTATTTAAAAATTGTAAATAATATTTAGACTATTAGTACTGTATGTTTCAATTTAACTCACAATTAACATAAGATATGCCGGACGACCACATAAAACTAATTTTTCTATCCCTGGGGAACAGTATGTTTTTTCTGGATAATTGGTATCCTATATCCTTTTTTGGGCCCCTGGCAATGCGTGTACACAATTTCATGACGATAAGTTGCATAGATAAGGCGTGAAATAGTAACAAACAAAGAAGTGACATAAGAATTTTCCTATACGACGTGGTATTATTGAAAAATTGATAGCATTCTTTAAGGATTGCATGTATCATGTATGCATGTAATGGAATATCCCAAAGTTCGGCGTCGACTTTCCACTAGTGTATAAAGAAACATTTACATGACAAAAAGGAAATAAATGAATAATTTTTAAATTTAATAAAAGGCTTTGATTCATTTCCCTTTTCTTTAATAAATAGTTTCCCTTTTAGTAAAAGAGGCTGACAAATTTGAAAATATAACAGCTGAATCAGCAGAAGTCGTAACTAGAAGACTTAAAAGTTTCTAGAATTTTATCGCAACCTCTCTTCTAATCTAATATTTTACAGGTAAAAGCATTCCCATGTAAAATTACATTACAATAAATGTATAACAATTTTGTGACCTGGAATTCTTAGAAAAGTAGACAATTTGAGGGTATATTTGAAGAAGAAAGGAATTTTCACTACAACGAACGCCAGATATAGATTGCAAAACAAAATCTAAGAGGGTAATTCAAATTATAAAAACAGAACTAGTAATACATCACAAACTCTCTGTAACGAAACTAGAAGGACCCAATATTGTTTTGGGATATAGATACAGGGTTCTTTAAACTTGGCGGTAAATTCCTTAGACGTTTTAAGGAAACTAAGCGTGTAAAAGATTTGAAAACTTGACGGTTACCAAGTATCTTTTTAACTAAAATAATTTCAACTGCCGACCGCTTCCGGTTATACCGGAAGTGATGCTAACTTTGTTATTTTAAATGGAATAGTTCAGGGGTCTTATTGTTAAACATCACTTTAATATCGAGATGGGGTTCCGCAAAAAAGGGTAAATCAGAAAGGGTTCGTAGAAAAGGGGAATTGGGAACCTCCAGAATAGAATTCGTATGAAACACCACTCAGTAAACAAAGAATTAAAAGTTAAAGGAATAATTATCAAATTATACACCAGTTATATTAATCAATACCTATAATAATAGATGAGTAGATAGAACTAGCTCAAATGTCGAAATGGCGAATTAATTAAGAACGAGAAAAAATCTTAACAGTTTCTTTTTATTTTCAGCGCTTGTTAAAACTTTCTTAATAAAGTCTTTCGTAGCGAAGTAACAAAGCTAACTTTAAAAAAGGACAAAAGGATATTAAAAAATATCGTTCAATAACGTGCTGTTTCCGTGTAGTGAAAATTGAAAATTCTGCCTTATATACATATAATATTATATTTTCAAAAAAACAATAAAATTATTTCAAAATTCAACGAATTTATTATTTAAGAGAGAATGGGATATATTTAGATTTAGAATGGTATTTGCTATTCTAGAATTAAGGGCTTATTTTCGCTTCTCTGAAAGGACGATAAGAATGTAATTGTTCTTTAAACACGAATTATCCTCTATAAGTACAAAGTCTTAGCGATCGTAGTCCATTTGCAGCCATATTATTACGGTCATCAATCCTCCCAAATCTTGCAATAAATACCTAAGAAACTCCATTAGACGTAGAATTTTCAGTAAAAGCAATAAACACTATAAATCTTTGTTTGAGAACTAATTTATTATTCAGTGAAATAATTCTGCTCTAAGAAGAGGCGAAAACTTTAAAAGATATCCTGCCGTTAGTATAAGTATACTTCGTTTAGTAGGGAGAAAAAAGCTCATTATACTCTCGACTCTTATTCATTTAACATACAGTACCTGTCAAAAGTTTTGTTCAATTACGAATAGTAGTGGGAGTCGAAAACNAAGCAATAAACACTATAAATCTTTGTTTGAGAACTAATTTATTATTCAGTGAAATAATTCTGCTCTAAGAAGAGGCGAAAACTTTAAAAGATAGCCTGCCGTTAGTATAAGTATACTTCGTTTAGTAGGGAGAAAAAAGCTCATTATACTCTCGACTCTCAAAAGTTTTGTTCAATTACGAATAGTAGTGGGAGTCGAAAACAAACGTTAAAGCCTTTAATATGTCTTCAAACATAAATAAACATCTCGTTGATATTTTCAGTAGTAATTGGTACCAATAACAGCACATTTGAGCAATGCAATCGTAGTGGATAAAATGGTTAATTTTTCCGTGCAGTACTGTACGGATTATACGCTCCTCGCCGGTTGAAGTTTGGCCGAGAGTTGTCTCCTTTCTTGTCTGGCCTAGTGCTGTTCTCTTCTACTTTGCGCTGAAGGTCACATCGCTAAAGAAACTAAACGAAGTATAACAAAGCAAAGCAAAATCAAGCACAAGACTATCGCAGGTCTTGGTTATTCGGTCTTGGTCTTGCTCAAAAAATTCTAATCTTGGTCTTGGTATTGGTCTTGCGTGTTAGGTCTTGGTCGTGTTGTGTGATAGTCTTACTCATTTAATCTGATACTTACGTTTATTTTATATTTCAACCGTGTGCTATCCAGACATAGGAGCAAAGGATACTTACTCCGAGGATATTCTTGAGGATCCCTTTTTTCAAACAATGGTAAAGTTCCTTTGTTTATATACTTAGTCTCAAATTTTAGTAAAGCAAACGGAAAAATTCAAATATTAAAAAAGTTTTGTTTCAACAAAAGATTATTAAAATAATATTAATAAACCTTAATAGGTTGCTTCAAATAGTTAAACTCATAAATGTGTTGTATATTCAATCTTAATTTGAATCTTGGTCATGTTCGTTCGGTCTTTGTCTTGATCTTGCGAAAATGTAAAGAAAACAATTTTTCTCATACCTAGTTTGTATGACTGGGTAGTATCGAATTCGCGAAGAAGGTGTCCTCGGACCTAACCCCTAAAACCCCCTTACCTCAGGCCGTTCTGTCCTCTTCAGCCGAGAAGCAGCTGCAGTTTGAATATGCCCATTTAAGACACAAAAACAATAAAGCAAAAGTTTGAATTCTAGTTTTGCCGTTTTTAATAAAAGTAACGTATTTTGCGGCGTTATTCCAACGCAGAGAGGATTTTATCGTTTTATGTACTTACGTATATTCGGGTACATCGCTATGAATTTATTCAATTACAAGTCAAGGAAGATTTAAGCAAACGGTGTTAACTTTCTCGGAAACTGCAGTAGAAATTATTTCAACCTACTGAAACAACTAATTAAATTCAGACATGGGACGGTTAAACAGTAAAATAATCTCCGTTTATCTATCTAAGCGAAGCATAATAATATTACCAATAATGAGAGTTTAATATCACAAGATATCGATAAGAGATGGTTGAGATGTCATAATATTTTGAAAAACACTTATAGCATGAAAAGAAAAGGTTAGAAGCGCTCGAAACCTGGTGTTATAGGCGGATGATGAGGATATCGTGGGTAGAAAAGGTTAGAAATGAAGAAGTATTGGAAAGAATAGGAGAATAGAGGACTCTATGGAAGTCAATAAAAAATAGGCGAGATAGGTTGGTAGGACACCTTCTCAGACATGAAGGTCTAGTCAGAGACATATTAGAGGCAGAAACAGGAGTTAGGAGGGGTAGAGGTAGACCTAGATTAGATTACTCTTCGCAAATAGTTAAGGATGTGGGATGTTCTAGTTTTAGGGAAATGCGAAGATTAGCTAAGGATAGGATAGAGTGGAGGTACGTGTCCAACCAGTCTTAGGACTGATGACCTTATGATGATGATGACTTATAGCATGAAGAGGCAGTAAAGGACAATATAGTAGAGACTGCATGCAGGACCCATAATGGGTACAGTATAATCCAAAACGTTTGGCGTAGTATAGACCAACGGTTCCCAATTTTCTGTTGCTACGGAACCCTTTCTGACCCATCCATTTTTTACGGAACCCCTTCTCGACAAAAAGGTAAAGAGATGATAGTTTTATGTCTGACTTCTGTCACCTTATCGTGCACATGTTATTTAAATGAATTTTGAATTCAAAATCTTTATTGCACGTACGTATATATTTTTGTTTATAATAACCTTACAATTTGTTTTAATGTCCGACAATTCAATTCGAATATCTTGAGTGGTATCCAGTCTAGTTTTAAATTTGCTTTTAGTGTAAGCCTAAACTGAAAAGCTCGACTATAATCTGAAATCCAAATAAATTCATCATTAAGTTTGATCCAAAGATCATTCAAATTTGAATCAATTAATTCGAATTATTATTTTAAGAAGAATTAATTCTTAATATCGATCAAGTTCTCATACTCCGACATAGTTAACATTGATTATTTAGTTTGATTTGCGAATGAATTCTGTATTCACAATCACTGTCTGTCCTGTGACCGTGTAAGTCCTCTGAAAAATACTCTTTCAAGGATTTTTTGTTTTTCAATAGATGTTCGTTTGTGGTTAGATACAGAATGATTGCTTTTCGCAGAATTTTCTATATTATTACTAGGACTACACCCGTCGATCTCGCGGAACGTCTGTGATCCGCCCACGGAACATCAGGGTTCCACGGAACACCATTTGGGAACCGCTGGTATAAACTATCTCGAATTGAACGTAGCAGCTGAATTATTCATTTTATATGTACATTCATTCGACATAATTATTAATCAAGTTTGCACCATCAATAAAGAGAAACAATGTGAAGATCTCACATTTTAATAATTTATCATTTCTCTGTTTGTCGATTTATAATACACTAAACAATTAATTGAGTAATTAACCCCGTCGAAACACAATGTTAAACAATGCCACTGTTGCATCAAAGAACGATTATATCCGTGTAATAACAATATGATGGTTTTGAGTTGTCTGGGACTGAGAGCAATTCCAAATCGTCTGTTCAGACAGCTTTCAATCTAAATTGTTAGCAATAATTTCATCGCTTCATTATTCGAAATTCAGCCTGTTGTAAGCTGTACAATTGCAAGTACTTATTGTATTTAATTGTAACTGTCATAGTTAATAAAATTCAACAATTAGTGACTAAAAAGTTGTAATTCGACTATATAAATTAGTGCTGCAACAGACCTCTGCTTCCGCTTCTAATATTACGTTCCGTCAAGTATAGATGCCAGCGATTAATTACGCCACCGGAGGAGTTAAAATGAATTATACGGAAACGAAGCCCTGTCCTCACCCTATAATGTCTGGTAGTTCGCGAGAAAAACAGTTTCAGAGCTAATGCTACTTTTACTCAGTCTGAACAAATTGTCATCGGACGCAGATCTGACAGAATGAAATTACAATGATTATATTCGCCGCATCAATGAAGTGTACACAACCACCTTCAATAAAGGCGAATATGGGAACATTTCAACCGGAAAAGATTTCACGAAAGAATGAAACGATAACAATTTGCTCATCCGATTGTACCAAAAAAAGATCGTAATGCGACTTACCTCTTGTCACCTACCTTTGCTAGATGTTCATAAAAATAAAAATAAAAGTTTTTGTTCCCAAGTTCGTATCAACAGCAAATATTTTTCAGGTAAAAAAATTGCATTTTCGTTAAACCCTCAACTAAAATCGCTCCTTTTTGTTACACTATTATCATCTCGGAATGAAAATCTACCCTAAATGAAAAATCGATAAAGGACATCTTAAAGTGGCGGGGTTGTTCTTCGTGTCGGTTTGGGGACTGTGACAGTTGACAAAATCTCAATTGCCACATTAGGTATGAACATAAATTAGGAGGTTCTAGGGGTACCTATATATGGGTAGAGACTGGCAGTTCCGGCTTTTAGAAGGAGCCAGGTCGGGAGGCGTCCGGGAGTACCGAACTATAAGGCATTCCAAGTGATACACATTACTAAAATGTCGAAATAAATAAATACTTGAACAGCAGTCCCCAAATGGTGTTTCGTGGAATCCTAATGTTCCGTGGACGGATCACAGAGGTTCCGCGAGATACGATGTTTCCGGTAGAAATATAGAAAATTCTGCGAAAAGTAATCACTCTGTATCTAACCATAAACGAACATCTATTAAAACTTAAAAAATCTTCTAAAAAAAATTTTCCAGAGGAGTCAGATAGCCAGTGATTGTGAGTACAGAATCCTTTCACAAATCAAACTAAATAATCATTGTTAACTATAAAATAATTCGAAGTAGTTTGTATTCTGTGTATACTGTGCCATTTGTGGTATTTTCTAAAACGTACTGTTAAGACAGCAGGTAAAAGTTGGTCGGGTTGCCAGCGACGCGCTGATGAAATCCAAAAAGATCGAAATCGCGATCCGCGTCTGGTAGTTTCGACAGAATACGGACTACTTCGAATTATTTTATGCGATTAAGCTAACGTGCCTATCACGTTGAGGTTGGCTACGCCGGGATTCGTTTTCAGCAAGTAGATATCCACACAAGTGGACCTTGTTGGAGCATACGTAATCCTAAAATGTAGCATCGTGCTACAGATGGCGTTCACTGTGCCATTTGTAGTATTTTCTAAAACGCACTGTTAACTATGTCGAAGTATGAGAACTTGATCGATATTAAAAATCCATCCTCCTTAAAACAAAAATTCGAATTAGTTGATTCAAATTTGAATAATCTTTGGATCAATCTTAATGATGAATCAAGCGTTATTCATAAAGGTTTTTATTTGCACCACAATAAAATTAGTGTAATAGCCTTATGTACTTATGTTACTTCTATTTTTGCACTTTCACACAAGAATGTAAGGGTGGTGCGCGTATGTATGTATGAATGTAAAAACATACGTACAGATATGCAGGTCCATTTACAATTGCTCGCTGAAGATAAAACCATTTTCCACGAGACGGAGTCCAAACTGCCGTTCCCACAATTTATCTGTGTAAATTGTTGTTTTAGCGCGTTAACCGGAAGGTTCTGCTTCTAGTTACGGACAGCGACCGGACCGGACAAAAGTTCACGTTATAAACACGTACCCAAGTATACATACATGTGTATGTGTGTGTGTGTGCCTGTTGGTCCGAACTGGACAAATTGTATAACAAATTACCCCTATTATTTCTGTTTTGGCATTTCTGCAATTTCTTGCGGAAGCCCCTTTGAAATGTAGATCCGTGGCCGGAAACTTACAAAAAGGTTACCACCGCGAAATGTATCCGTGGGAAAGACCATGATCTGTTACTTTTTTTTTTGTTTCATTCCATAAAAAGAAAAAGCAGAAACTTGAATTTCACACGGTTTTGGGTCATACTTTCCGAAATATTGAATCACATATTATTTTTTCCAGTATTAACTATTCAAAAAACAGGTATAACAGGGTGATGTTAAAAATTCAATGGACAGAAAAGGTTAGAAATAATAACAGACGCTCAAGAGGGCGTTATCGGCTGGATACTCGGTTTAGATTCAGTACCTAGCGGATCCAACCGGGTAGCAGTTAATGACGCTGGTTATGCTGCAATGCCGAGTAATTCTACCAAAGAAATAAGAAAAGCAATAATATTTTCTGTATTCACAATCACTGTCTGTCCTGTGACCGTGTAAGTCCTCTGAAAAATACTCTTTCAAGGATTTTTTGTTTTTCAATAGATGTTCGTTTGTGGTTAGATACAGAATGATTGCTTTTCGCAGAATTTTCTATATTATTACTAGGACTACACCCGTCGATCTCGCGGAACGTCTGTGATCCGCCCACGGAACATCAGGGTTCCACGGAACACCATTTGGGAACCGCTGGTATAAACTATCTCGAATTGAACGTAGCAGCTGAATTATTCATTTTATATGTACATTCATTCGACATAATTATTAATCAAGTTTGCACCATCAATAAAGAGAAACAATGTGAAGATCTCACATTTTAATAATTTATCATTTCTCTGTTTGTCGATTTATAATACACTAAACAATTAATTGAGTAATTAACCCCGTCGAAACACAATGTTAAACAATGCCACTGTTGCATCAAAGAACGATTATATCCGTGTAATAACAATATGATGGTTTTGAGTTGTCTGGGACTGAGAGCAATTCCAAATCGTCTGTTCAGACAGCTTTCAATCTAAATTGTTAGCAATAATTTCATCGCTTCATTATTCGAAATTCAGCCTGTTGTAAGCTGTACAATTGCAAGTACTTATTGTATTTAATTGTAACTGTCATAGTTAATAAAATTCAACAATTAGTGACTAAAAAGTTGTAATTCGACTATATAAATTAGTGCTGCAACAGACCTCTGCTTCCGCTTCTAATATTACGTTCCGTCAAGTATAGATGCCAGCGATTAATTACGCCACCGGAGGAGTTAAAATGAATTATACGGAAACGAAGCCCTGTCCTCACCCTATAATGTCTGGTAGTTCGCGAGAAAAACAGTTTCAGAGCTAATGCTACTTTTACTCAGTCTGAACAAATTGTCATCGGACGCAGATCTGACAGAATGAAATTACAATGATTATATTCGCCGCATCAATGAAGTGTACACAACCACCTTCAATAAAGGCGAATATGGGAACATTTCAACCGGAAAAGATTTCACGAAAGAATGAAACGATAACAATTTGCTCATCCGATTGTACCAAAAAAAGATCGTAATGCGACTTACCTCTTGTCACCTACCTTTGCTAGATGTTCATAAAAATAAAAATAAAAGTTTTTGTTCCCAAGTTCGTATCAACAGCAAATATTTTTCAGGTAAAAAAATTGCATTTTCGTTAAACCCTCAACTAAAATCGCTCCTTTTTGTTACACTATTATCATCTCGGAATGAAAATCTACCCTAAATGAAAAATCGATAAAGGACATCTTAAAGTGGCGGGGTTGTTCTTCGTGTCGGTTTGGGGACTGTGACAGTTGACAAAATCTCAATTGCCACATTAGGTATGAACATAAATTAGGAGGTTCTAGGGGTACCTATATATGGGTAGAGACTGGCAGTTCCGGCTTTTAGAAGGAGCCAGGTCGGGAGGCGTCCGGGAGTACCGAACTATAAGGCATTCCAAGTGATACACATTACTAAAATGTCGAAATAAATAAATACTTGAACAGCAGTCCCCAAATGGTGTTTCGTGGAATCCTAATGTTCCGTGGACGGATCACAGAGGTTCCGCGAGATACGATGTTTCCGGTAGAAATATAGAAAATTCTGCGAAAAGTAATCACTCTGTATCTAACCATAAACGAACATCTATTAAAACTTAAAAAATCTTCTAAAAAAAATTTTCCAGAGGAGTCAGATAGCCAGTGATTGTGAGTACAGAATCCTTTCACAAATCAAACTAAATAATCATTGTTAACTATAAAATAATTCGAAGTAGTCTGTATTCTGTGTATACTGTGCCATTTGTGGTATTTTCTAAAACGTACTGTTAAGACAGCAGGTAAAAGTTGGTCGGGTTGCCAGCGACGCGCTGATGAAATCCAAAAAGATCGAAATCGCGATCCGCGTCTGGTAGTTTCGACAGAATACGGACTACTTCGAATTATTTTATGCGATTAAGCTAACGTGCCTATCACGTTGAGGTTGGCTACGCCGGGATTCGTTTTCAGCAAGTAGATATCCACACAAGTGGACCTTGTTGGAGCATACGTAATCCTAAAATGTAGCATCGTGCTACAGATGGCGTTCACTGTGCCATTTGTAGTATTTTCTAAAACGCACTGTTAACTATGTCGAAGTATGAGAACTTGATCGATATTAAAAATCCATCCTCCTTAAAACAAAAATTCGAATTAGTTGATTCAAATTTGAATAATCTTTGGATCAATCTTAATGATGAATCAAGCGTTATTCATAAAGGTTTTTATTTGCACCACAATAAAATTAGTGTAATAGCCTTATGTACTTATGTTACTTCTATTTTTGCACTTTCACACAAGAATGTAAGGGTGGTGCGCGTATGTATGTATGAATGTAAAAACATACGTACAGATATGCAGGTCCATTTACAATTGCTCGCTGAAGATAAAACGATTTTCCACGAGACGGAGTCCAAACTGCCGTTCCCACAATTTATCTGTGTAAATTGTTGTTTTAGCGCGTTAACCGGAAGGTTCTGCTTCTAGTTACGGACAGCGACCGGACCGGACAAAAGTTCACGTTATAAACACGTACCCAAGTATACATACATGTGTATGTGTGTGTGTGTGCCTGTTGGTCCGAACTGGACAAATTGTATAACAAATTACCCCTATTATTTCTGTTTTGGCATTTCTGCAATTTCTTGCGGAAGCCCCTTTGAAATGTAGATCCGTGGCCGGAAACTTACAAAAAGGTTACCACCGCGAAATGTATCCGTGGGAAAGACCATGATCTGTTACTTTTTTTTTTGTTTCATTCCATAAAAAGAAAAAGCAGAAACTTGAATTTCACACGGTTTTGGGTCATACTTTCCGAAATATTGAATCACATATTATTTTTTCCAGTATTAACTATTCAAAAAACAGGTATAACAGGGTGATGTTAAAAATTCAATGGACAGAAAAGGTTAGAAATAATAACAGACGCTCAAGAGGGCGTTATCGGCTGGATACTCGGTTTAGATTCAGTACCTAGCGGATCCAACCGGGTAGCAGTTAATGACGCTGGTTATGCTGCAATGCCGAGTAATTCTACCAAAGAAATAAGAAAAGCAATAATATTAGTAATTAAAGTTTATATAGGAATAGATCGTTTGTCCTATTTTGTATTATTTATTGATTACTACACTAAATTATTTCTTATTTCGATATAGTTCTTGTCTTTACTTTTTCGGGTCAAAATCACATTTTTCCAATATTTCATTTAATTATGCGGCATGTCGTAAGTATAATTATATGGGGTGACATCGGAAATTCAAAAATATATTTTTTAATTTTAATCTAATTCATCGTTTTAATATCTATATATATAAAAGAAAGTCGTCTTAGTTACACTATCTATAACTCAAGAACGGCTGAACCGATTTGGCTGAAAATTGATGGGGAGGTATCTTACAACCGGGAGAAGGACATAGGATACTTTTTATCACTTTCCACGAGAAAAATGTGGTATATGTAAACGCAACTGACATGGAATGACAAAACGAAATTGACAGCAAAACGAAAAATTTATCAGTCAAAACATCAGTCTAGCCGTTCATTTGTTAAAAATGGTATAACAAAACGCAACTGACAGCTAAACGTAATGTTGTCTATGGTTAAGTATGGTGTTTTATTTATAGTCAGATTTACCTGAAACTTGGCTTGTTTTTTCATATACAATTAGTGACATACATACCTATTTCAACATTTTACAAAATTCTACCTCTTTAGGAAGCTGAAAGGGGTTTGCAAAGATTGCATGTTTGTTTTTGGTCCGATTTACTTGAAACTGGTTAAAAAATTCAATCTCTGTTGGGGGGGGTGAGTGGTGAAGATGAGTTGCAATGTTTAAATGGAACATATAGTATTTGTCGTCAGATTTACTTGAAACTTGGTCTCTATGGTCTTTTATTTAATTTCTGAAAGACATATCTCGACATTTTAAAAAATTCAACCTCCAAAGGGGGGGGGGATGGTAAAAAGGTGTTGCAATTTTTGTTTGGGACATACTTTATTTGTGATTGAATTTACTTGAAGCTTCGCATATATGCTGTTCGATATTATTATTCCAATGAAAAGTGGTTGCAACGTTTGCATGGGGTATATTTTATTTGTACTCGGATTTACTCGAAGGTTCTTCATTTTTGAAATTAGGCAAATACGTGTTTTGCCATTTTTTAAAAATCAACCCTTAAAGATGAAATGTTGTTTGTATTTGAAATCTAAGATGGTGACATTACATAAAATTAAAACGTTGTAAGGGTGAATTGGGAGTTAAAAGGTTTTATGGAGAAACAATATTAATTTCCGCGAGCGAAGCAGCGGGGAAAGCCAGTTTTAAATAAAAAGATACGGTATATTCAGATATGTTTTATTTGGGTTGGGGGCAATAAATTAATAGATATAATGTTTTACCTTTTAATTAAGCAATATAAAGGAGAATTCACCTAAAAACGCCAAGAGTACTCTAAGAGGGTAACAAAGTACACGAAGCGGGAACAATATAATCCTTAGAAACCATAAGGTTATATTGACGGGGATGAACAATATTTTTAGGGGGGTCAATACGATCTTCAGAATTGTCCTTATTACATTTATAACGAATCCTTGAAAGTAATAAAGGGGATTTAATAATTTCTCTATCACGGTGGGCGATTGTATTTCCACAACTGAAAAAAATAAAGTGGCGGTTATCCGTGTAATCAATAAAATGCATATAATCCTTCAAAAATTATTTATTAATTGTTTTTTCGCTATAGTGTTTACACTAATTCATTAACTCTCCGAAAACTTCCCCAATTATGAAAGACAGAGCCCTTAAAGGAAACAGCAAAATTTTAAGTATCCATCGTACAAAACGATAGGGCAATAAGACAATTTGTAAAACAACTTTCACAGGAAAGATTACTATTTTAAGAGGTAATAAGACAACGTTTATTATTCTTCGAATAATAAATTTCGGAATATTCAACACTAGCTTAACAGGATTGAAGATGTTCTTTATTAAAGAGTGAGACGTCTCTTCATCTAAAAAAATTAAATACAAATATTGTTAAAATTTAAAGTCCTTTTCGAAATAACATCTAACTATCTCCTAAAATCAAAATTCAGGCACGAAAATTAATTTTCGAATATCAGTTTTACCGACGTTATTTAATCAATACTATTGTACCTAATAAAACAGCTGCACGAACTATTTCCCTTATATAAACTTTAATATTAATGTCTTAAATTATTTAATTAATATTTTCCATTGACCAAGCTTATTTTGACATAGTTTTAGCAGCAAGTATTTATTCCATTTATTTATTATATTATTGATAAAAAGATTAACCTTTTTCTTTATTTACATGTCGTTTATTGCTACTAAAAATGCAACATTAATATTGGGAAATAATTTGATAATTTTACTTTTTATTTGTCACTTACCTTCATCGACACTGTGCGACCATGGTGTAGGATAAGCTAGCTAAAATAAAACACAAAAAATGATACCCCTTCTAAATTTGAATCTGCTTTCTAAAAAATTAAGAAATAATTTACCTGAATGCAAACGAAAAATATAAGCAACGCGAGGACCTTCATCTTAGAAATAACTTTTAAATTTAAATTCTACTTCACGTATCGCCGAATTTTCAGATCGATTCAATCTTTTATTGGACAATCGAACGCGTAGGTATCGAATAAAACAATGGACTGACGGAGCGCTTTATTAAAGAATTTGCTTTTTGTTAATCGATATAATAAAACTCCATTTCGAATTGATTTTTTTTACTTCCTTTCGAAATAATTGTCTCTTACTATCCCACCCATTACTATTAATTGACAATGTTCTCCCAATTTTCGACAATACACAAAGAGATGATAGCACCTTTGTCATTTCATGATAAGCATAAATTAAAATTCACAAAAACTAATTAAAATTTAAATTTAAACTAATTTTTAAATATGAATGAATTATTACTTGTAATGGGCTATTCTTTATAGTGTTGTAGTTTATCCCACTTGCATTTGTATTTTTTTAAATGAAAATAGAAAAATTTGCCCACATTTTTTCTCAACATATATATACACACCTAACATTTGTTCATTGAAGAAAAGATCTACAATTATTAATGGTTTACGCAAACAAATCCGCGGAAAAAACCCCTGAAATTCTCCATAAAATTATTTTAAACTGAATCTTATAACTTTTAAATTTGACCGAACTAGACTAAGCCATCTCGAATAATAATATTTTAGCTTTAAGTTCTCAGTCTGGCGTTTACAAGATTTATTGCGTGTACCCCAATTAAATATGTATGAAGCGGTAATAGGGAGGAAAGGCCCCTGAAAAAAGGCCCCCCAGGAGAAAAAACCTTCAGAAAAAAAATCGTAAAAAACCCCCCAGAAAATAATTCTCCCTCGGAAAAAGTTAATCCGTTGATAAACTAAATGGTAAATTTAATTGGAATTGTAAAGTGGTGAACAATGAAATAAACGTACAGAATGTTCGTAATAACATTTAATATAGGGTTGTTCGGAAAGTCATTTCGTTTGTGTCGCGCATTGACGTCTGCGATTCGCTTCTCAAACGTCACGAAAATGATCCGTTTTTGAAGGGCATCATCACTGGGGACGAAAAATGTCACGTCAAATTTGGTCACTCGCCAAAAGCTTTTACAGCTTGAATGGGATACAATGCTACACCCAGCATATTCTCCAGACGTGGCACCATCGGATTATTATTTGTTCCGGTCACTCCAAAATTTTTTAGACGGTAAAACCTTCACCTCAAATGAGGAGGTCAAAAACCTCCTCGATCAGTTTTTTGCCAGCAAAGACCAAAAATTTTATGAGCGTGGAATTATGCTACTACCAGAAAGATGGCAAAAGGTGTTGGACCAGAACGGTCAATATATAATTTAATAAAGTATTTGTTTATTATACGAAAACTGTCTTTCATTTCCACAAAAAAAAACGAAATGACTTTCCGAACAACCCTATAGAAATAAGAATAGATCGAGTAACTGCAAGATTATCACCTGTTGTTTTAAATTGTAATATTAGTAGAAACCAAATTGTTTGTGAAGTATTGATATTCTTCCAGGTAATTAATAAAAATACTTCATGGGAAATCAACCCCCAACATAATATTATCGTTACACCTGTTAGCATAAATAAAACAAATCAAGTAGGTAATTAACTAGAACTCATGCTGTCTATTCAACGTTATCATCATCAAGAAAAACAATAACTTGAAGTGTTGATTTTTTAAACCATATGATAATGTTTAGAATAAATTTTTGATGATTTTTTTCCAAAGGGACATTTTTTCCGAGAGGATTTTTTTCCGATGCTTTTTTCCTAGATCCGTATGTACCTGATGATGGGCATCCTTTTTTATTGAGGTCTTTATTATTTTTTTGTATTTTGCCCAAGGAGTTATTGGTTCCCGAACGATATAAAGAATCAGTAAATTTTTTTACGGTTATCAATTTATGAAGACTTAAAAGGGAAAAAGCCAGTTTATGTTTTTGTGATTCAACATGAAAGAATTTAGTATGAATAATGGTACCAGTATATAATGTTTCATGGTGGGAAATAGAAAATGTTTGTATATTACGTGATTCTTGATAATTAGATCTAAAAGATAATGAAATTATTGACTTCTACCAATACAAATAATTATATTATTAGTGACTAGTTGCCCGACAGACTTCGTTCTGTCAGAAGTTATTGGCTTGTCGAAATCCAACAAAAAAAATAAAGAAATAAAGAAGAGAAGGGAAAATTCAAAAACAACCAAGAAAATGCCGCGCACAGAAGAGGTAATGATGACATATTCGTTAGTAATTTTATTTTCTTTGATACCACGCAAACCCTTTCTTTTATTCGAACATTGTTTTGGGCAGGCATCGATTAATATCCATACAGCCTAGTCAACCAAAAATAATCCTAAAGCGCCTTTTGTTTTGATTGACGTTAAATGCTTGACAGCTAGGGACAGATGTGGTTTGAATGGGAAAATAAAACTGAGGTTTTAATTGACGTCAAATGTTTGGGGCAGATGTTTTGATTTACCCTGTGGTTTTATGAGAAAAGAAAAGTAAGGTTTTTACGTTTTTCTAGGCAGTTTTTCCAATTTTTCTCTTAATAAAAACCTTTCTCTAACTTCAAGGAATATTAAAAAAAATATCAAAATTGGTCCTGCCGTTCTCGAGTTTTGCGATTCATTTTTATTTGACCTGATAAACATTTTTACAATATTTTCAATATTGTAACGCTTCCGGTTACACCGGAAGTTAATACCAACTTCCTTATTATAAATAAAATATCCTGTATTTTACTGTACCATTGAATTTTTTAATCTATTTGACACCATTAGATTGTGATCAGTAAGAAAACATTAAAGAGCAGGCCTATCGCACATCAATTTGGAATCACATGAAACCCACTACTGAAGGTACTCTCAGAAGAAGTGTTTTGAAGTCAACGGGAGACAATTTCAACATTTATTGTGATTAAGATAATTTAATTTTGTCTTTGAGAATAACAAAATAATTTATAAACCTGCTATTAATAGGTCGAATTTATAAGAAGTCGAACAAATTGTTTTAGGTATTTCTTACAATCTATCTACATCAGTAGTAAATGGGAATTTAATGACATTCTTGTAACAAGACAATCTAAACAGTTGANACTTTTTTATTTAAAATTATATTTTGATTTAAGGTCCGAAGAAGTATTAGATTGCGCCGAAGTTGTAGCTTTACGTAAAATTCTACCCCATCCAAACATTTTAAATCCACTAGAATATTACTAGTAAGCTGAAATTATGCATAACAGAAAATAAAATCGTTGACAATAACGAAAAATTACAATTATTGAAATGTGCTTTTGTTCTAGTGACGATTCATGTGGCAGACTAATTTTAATTTTTGATTTAATGGACATGAGTTTGTACGATTTAATGAAGATAAAAAAGAGGTAAAAAAAGTATACCTAATATGCCTAACTTCTTATCGTAATTATAAAAATATATCAGTTTGTTAAAATTAACTAAGAAATGTATTGATTTATGTTCGTCTGCACACTGTAAATGTTAACTCTAAATTTAAAAATTTAACTATAATTAATTAATAATTTATTAATAATAATCTTAGCCTACATTAGTAGATAATTAGGGAAGGTTGAAATGGTAGGGAACTATAGCAGGGTGAGTGAAGACGATAAGCCGCCTCACCGCCCTGCATCATCGTCATCTTGAATTCTGCTCTCGACTTTTTGATTCTCGACCCTAATTGATTATAATTATTGATTCAGCTATTTAACAATTGCTAATTGACCTACTATCACAGTAGATAAGCAGATTTCAAGTTTAAATAAATAAATTAGGTGTACCAACTTTGTACCAGTAGCCTAAATAAGAATTTATGGATACTATGTAACACATAAAGTAATTTTATGGAGATAGGGCATTTTTTCCTAGAGCATTTTTACCGAAGAAATTATTATTTTCGAAGGATTTTTCCTAGAATCAACCACGACAACGCTCGCTTCGTTCGTGTTGCCTTTTTCTAATTTTAAATGAAAAATGTATTTATTTCAAATTTGTTATGCTACAAAACGTAAACACATGATGCATAAGCGTAAAGTACAAAACGAGAATATAAAACGGATAAATAATGTTTAAATACAGTACAAAACGAGAAGGCACGAAAAGAGAATTGTTTACCAACGCTGTATAAATGTATTTCTGGGAAATATACATCAATGTTAAATTGTTCTTTTGTAGGGGTTTCCCGGAACACAAAGCTCGATTTTACCTGCACGAAGTTTTGAAAGGGCTTTATCACCTCCATAAAATGGGCCTCTTTCATCGAGATGTCAAACCAGAAAATATTTTGATTAACTTGCCTAAAACCCATTCAACTCTTCAATATTCTTTTCAGGTAACTTTTCATAATAGTTGCATAAATAATTTTATTTTCTAACAGGCAATTACGAATAGGTGGCTAAAATACTAGACGACGTATTTTATACTAAATTTACGTTTAAATAATTACAATGAGGGTTTGAAATAATACAAAAACTTTTATTCTTAAAGCAGGAAAGGGTAAAATTAGCAGACCTGGGTTCTATTCGGGGTATATACAGTAAACCACCATACACAGAATATATATCTACAAGATGGTACAGAGCACCGGAATGTTTATTGACAAAGGGATATTATGGACCTAAAATGGATATCTGGGCTGCTGGATGTGTTTTTTACGAACTGATAACCCTAACGCCACTTTTTGCTGGTTCAAATGAAATAGATCAGTTGGCTAAAATCCATGCCATACTTGGCACACCACCAGTCAGAGTTCTTAATAAATTTACTAACAAGTAAGTCACACCCCGTCGAAAAACATGCTTAAAAATAAAATATTTCTCAAGTAGATCTCAAAATTTTCAAAATTTTCCAAAACAACGAGGAAAAGGTTTGAATGCCGTTTTAGAAAATCTAAGTGATAACGCAAAAAATGTGCTAAGATTAATGTTGGAATACGACCCTATGAAAAGGGTAACCCTTAAAAGATTATTAGAACATTCTTACTTCGGTAGTTTATCGTAAGTATAAATTATTAATTACGAATTATTTGTATGTTAACGAATTAATTATTTCTTTACTATTGCAGACGTATCAATATGAGATTATCCGATAAAATGAGCGCGCCAATCGGTACAAAAAGAAAGCAGCAATATTCCGAAGAATATATCAAAGATTCACGTAAAAGAGCAATTAAAAGCTTCAGCTTATGTATGCATAGTGTTCCGAAAAAGATAAAAGTAAATTCCTCTTAAACGACCTATCGATATCGTTCATACATCAATTTTTCTTTTTTGTCATCTGTTAAACATATTATTGAGGTAAACGATATTATGAGTAAGTTAAATTATTGTCTGTGAAAAACGAATATATTACCCAATTATTAATAAATTTTGTATTCGTTTTGTTTTTAAAACGACATATTATTATTTTTTAGTTTTTAAAACCCTACAAGTTATAAAGTTTTGAACGATTGCATATTTTTGAAATCGCATTTTGAATACCTTTATTTTGATATCCAACACAATGGGAGCTTGAGTAAATATTCGAAAATAATGTTTGTCGCAAGTATGCGTATAGGTAGTTTAGAATGACATGAACCTTCAGATGCGCAGGAGGCGGGCCTTACCGCATTCATATTATACATTTGGAAAACATTGACTCGACTGGTCCTTGATTGATTCTAATCATTTGCCTCGCTATAAAAATAGGGTTGGAGTTCCAAAAAATGAGGCCAATATTTTTAAGAAATATAAATNGTTCTCTGAATATATTTTGTTTATTATAAATACAACTGTTATATTACTTATCAATTTCTCATTGAAATGGTGTTATTAATTACAAAAGTGATGGTGTAAAAAAGGAATAGTGATAAGTTTTGACATTTCTAAGAACTTTTGTATTTTCCGTTTCACAAAATCAGGAAGAAGCGTTGCCCTACTAAAGACGTACATAAATAATGCATATAAAGAAGAAACACTAATGTTAATGAAAAAATCCATATGTTTTTGTTATCTATTGTATAGTAAAATCAGTTAAAAAACGTATCTGTATCACGTAAGAAAATATTCCACACAAAAAAGTGAAAGAGATGGTGAGAATTTTTAAGCCTGATACTGAAAACGTCCGCAGCAATAAAATAATGAAGAGTTTGTGAGGTAGTAAATGAAAACTGAAAGTGACATTTATAAAAAAGAAGAAATAGGCTATTATATAGTTTAAAATGGATATTTTATTTCTTTTTTGGTATATCTAAAGCAAGCATTACTTGTAAGCGTTGAGAACTCGTTTATTTTTATTTTACGGTAAATAAATGACAGAAAATTGTAAGCATGCGTTGCGTCATTTTAAAGATACCGCACTTTTCAAATATGCACATAGATAATAGATCTACAAAGGGTTTAATATATGCAGTGATCTTTGATGCACGAATAAATATTACGAATATTACCTATCAGTATGGTTTTAGGATTATCTATGTAAGTAGTCATTGTATCATGTTACACTTATACCACTTACCTATTTTATCAATTTCCAAATCACAAAACTCTTAATTATGACTAAATACTAATATATGGATCTTGTAAACAAACACATTACACATAACCTTTGAGATATAAGTAAAATTGAGCACTAATTAGAAATGTTTTAGGGCAATAGAAATCATCAAAAACAAGCAAATCTAAATTTTAATACCACAACAATGAATTTAGACCAATTAATTATAAAAGTATCTCATTAACCAAGGTGAAAAATTTGTTACATATATGTATAATATAGTCATTAAACAGTTCCTTAAATTAAATTGTACAAACAATTCAACCATGTTAACTAGAAGTCGAAGGATTTTGTTTTAGTAACATCAGTTTTTTTTTTCAATATTTTTGAGATATCCATTTAATTCAGTTTTATTGCACAAACAGTTAATTATTTATTTATTGTTCCATAAAATTGAAATGACAACAGTAACCACGACATAAAATATTGAATGTGTGATATGTAACGACTTACGACATCTATTGAATTTTATGTTTTATCACATCAAATATGTTTGTAGTAAGGTATACAGCGACATCTATTACATGTATGGTTGGATAACAAAGGAACAAAAGAATACAAACAAAATTAAACCATCAATAACAAGATATAAAACAAAAGCATGCTCTTAATTATTGTATTGTCACAATGTTAAAAAAAAAAACAGGAATTTATCAACTTAAACAAGACATGTAAATAACAACAAAAACTGAAATGAAATGAAATATACATATATCGTCGAAAATAGGCCCCTGATAAGAAAAGCTTTTATAAAAGAATGTGCAGTATAAACCGTTTTAAAGTTTACTTTGATTTCATTTATGCCAATGTCGAATTTGTTTCAAGTAGCTGTTAATAGATATGTTGTAATATAACTTAGTTATATATATTTGTATTTATTTTTGTAATGTTCATATATGTAGGTATATCGTATAATATGTATTCAAAAAAGCGAAATAAAAAAGTGAAAACAACATTGAGCATTAATCACAGCCATTGAAATTCCTTATTTTTATTTAAATACTAAATTTTTTGTGTCCTGTAGATGATCAATTACTGTCAGTATATAATTTGTGATTGGTAATTTTGTATGGCAATATTTATGATCATTAGACCGTAGTATACTTGTCCCAAAAATAAATCTTATCAACTAATATACGTATTTGTACTTGTATTAAAGATAACTAAAAATTATTTTACCAGTTACATCGATCCCAACACTATTACATTTAATAACTTTTTTTGTTTTTATTATTTTTTTTACTGTAGGTTGTGGGGATGCTGAAATAAAGAGAACCCTGATAAACTTAGATCATTTCGCAAGAAATAATTAAAATAATGGAGTATTAATTAATAACTTACGGATTTACAGATAGACAGATAGATTAATTGTTCCATGACACTTAATATTTATTATATTTCTCGTTTTCCAACATCATTTGACATAAGGGAGTTTTTATTGACGTATACTTTCAGTAAGCCAGGATTCATGATGCAATAACTAAAATAAAAATTATATTTACAGTTTGTACGTGTCCCATTGTTCTGAGGAGGGACATCCTTCAAATGATCATCCTCAATGTTGGTATGTGAGAAAGGTGAAGCTAAGATTAGAGTTGAAAAAAATCACTTCTGTGCTCGCGTATATTTGGAGTAAATAAATAAAAAAACAACAAGATAGGAAACTAGAACACTTTCCAGGGCATGAAGAGCTAGTAAGAGATATATTAGAAGCCTCAATAGGAGTAAAACATTAACGAGAAGCAGACATAATAAAATGCCAAAACTGGCTCAGAATAGGAAGGAGTAGCCAATCTTTTCACTGGATGAAGATACTATTTGGACCAAGAGTCTGTTAGGAAAACAAAGGGGCTACGGAAATAAATAAACAACAAGATAGGATAGTAGGACACCTTCTAAATCATGAAGGGCTAGTTATAGACATACTAGAAGCAGCAAGTGGAGTAAAGCATTAAAGAGAAGCAGACATAATAAAATGCCAAAACTGGCTCAGAATAGGAAGGAGTAGCCAATCTTTTCACTGGATGAAGATACTATTTGGACCAAGAGTCTGTTAGGAAAACAAAGGGGCTACGGAAATAAATNTTCATTAATAGATTATTTTAAAAAAATTAAATTTGTTGTAAAAATAATGCACGTATTTAAAAAACTTATATTATGGGATTCCCTCTATTAGGTAGAGCTTTAGAAACTATATCTAATCAATTTCTTATATTTCATATGTGTGTTATATATCACATAGCATGCCATAGCAGAATTGTTTTAATTAAAATTATTTTGTAATTAAAGGTTTGTTAATAGATAGTAATTTGAGCTTGCTTGTAGTATCTAAAGGTCTTAAATAACCATATTTCGGTTTTCTTTATAACGTCTAACTATAGTACCATGCCTTATAACTACTTTTAATTCAAAAACTGAAAAATAATAGTGTTTTTCAACTTTTAAATGTGTTTCCAATGTTTAAATAAAAAAAATCTATTCTTTTTAGTTCCAGGCGGTACTCAAGGGTTGAAGAGAGCTCATCATTTAGTCAAAAGAGATGTTTAGCGTGGTTCAGAGAATATACCAATCCAGACGATCCAGACACCTTGGGTCCGGATGGGATGGAAAAATTTTGCGAGGATATAGGAGTAGAACCCGAGAATGTGGTCATGTTAGTGTTGGCATACAAAATGCAGGCCCGGCAAATGGGCTTTTTCACTCAAGAAGAGTGGCTAAGAGGTCTCAGTCAACTCGAATGTGACACAATACAGAAACTGCAAAACAGACTGGACCATTTACGTGGACTTCTCAATGACCACAATCAATTCAAAGCTATCTACAGATATGCATTTGATTTTGCACGAGTAATACAATTTTGTTATTTCTGTTTTATTTAGAGGAATTAATATTCTACTTCAATTTATATATATAAACAAAATTATTGCTAGGTCTGTCGATGTGCTCGCATCACCCAAAAACTACCGGATTTTAATTTTTAATCATTTTTTTTTTAGTTTTATTCCTTAGATGCTAATAATAATTTCGTAGGTCGTATAAAAATTCATCGGCTATATTTCTCTTTGCATTTTAACTAAGAAGTTGTATAATTATCCACCAACAAAAAGCAATACCATCATTTTTTTCAGTATTAATTTTTGATGCACCTAATTACAGTTTTCTTTAATTAATTTCAGGATAAAGACCAAAGGAGTATGGATATTGAGACTGCAAAGGCCATGCTACAGCTTTTACTGGGCAAGCACTGGCCCCTCTACACCCAGTTTAGTCAGTTCCTCGATCAATCAAAGTACAAAGTCATTAACAAAGACCAATGGTGTAATATTCTTGAATTTTCCAAAACGATCAGCAATGACTTGTCGAATTATGACGTGGATGGAGCCTGTAAGCACTAATTAACTAATTTCATTTAATTTGATATTTGATTAATAATAATTAATTGTATTCATAAAATAAATAACCAAACGTATTACAGGGCCGGTAATGTTAGACGAATTTGTCGAATCGATATCTCNACAGGGCCGGTAATGTTAGACGAATTTGTCGAATGGTTGAAGGCATCCAGAGGCAAATCGCCGGAAATTAGTTGAAATATAATTTAGTAATTAAACAATATAATATCATTATCTACTTGTCTTTTGCAAGCAAAGATTTTTCACCTTAAAATGTTGCCAGTTTTTAAGTTATTTTTTCCTCTCGCTCTTTATTATAGTTTTTTTTTACGAAAAGGACACCCAACAGAACGATACTCAAAATCGAAGCTAATAGTAATAAACTATTACAATAGTAATAAGCTTTTCGAAATCTGTATCTTAATAATTTATATAATGTATATTATTTGCTAAGTGTAAACAGTGTAATCGTTATTAAGAAATTAAAAGAAAAATGGCAAAATAGTACTAAAATATAATCATATGACTATTACTATTAATGTAATTTGGAATGTTTGTGTCCTTTTCTGTTAATATGTTTCTCTTACTCCCTTCCCCCTTATTTTTCTCTACTATTGTTCCACCAACTACTACCACTCGTATTATTTTAGGGATAAACTGCCTGAAATTATTGCAAATGTATTTTTTCTATAAAATATGTTTTAATGTACAGATTATTTTAATTTTAGTAATAAATTAATTATTTGCAGTATCTGTCTGATTTCATTTTACTCCTTCTGTCCAATAAAGTTTCATGCAAAGTTCCACTTGATTTTGCAGACTCCAGCGCCCCTTTATCCTCTGTGCAAATTCTTAAACGTTTATCCTGAAATTTCTGAAACTTTCTCCTAAAAATAAACAAAACTATAATTATAGAGATACATATTGAAAAAAACAACTTACACATAGTTAACTTCAATCTCTTCTAAACTTCCTTGCTCCTCAGTTGGTACATCTTTTAAAGGATTATGTTCTTTTATAGTTTGGGATCTTATTTGAAGAATTTCATCTTTGCTTGCTACTTTACTTAGAGCAATAACTGAGTCGTCCTTAGAATGAATAGAAATAAAACAGTCTGTATATGCTGAAAGTGCCATCTGACCATTCTAAAATTAACAATAATTAACAAAATAAAACCATTATGTTAATACTTACTTCAAACACTGGTTCCCACTGCTCTTTAGAACCAATTGCATCAGATCTTCCAACCACTGCACCATTTTTATCGACACTCAAATACTTTCCATATCCAGATTTTAGAGCTATTTTTCTCTCATTAATCTGAATAGCTGTTAAAATTTCCTCAGGGTAGGGGCCTTCTCCATCACTGTGAGGAGCTCCTAATGTAAACAAACCATTGTCTAGTGCTTTAATGTATGTGTGTTTACCAAACTCAATGGCTACTGGCCCCTTTATGTCTTCAACAGTTTTGGTTTTCCACCAATTTCCATGCTGAATAGCATCAATGTCAACTTTTGGTTGCTGTTTAGGTTTTTGACTTTTATGTTTTCGCTTCTTTTTCCTTAAAACAACAAATTAATCTTTTAATAATAATTGGTAAATGTCAATAGCTACACTTACTTCTCTTTTTCCCCCTTCAACAATAATTTTCCTGTACGCACCTTTTCGTATTCAGACATGTTTGTGAGAAATAAAATTACAACATTAAATCCTACAATATATTAAAAAAACATTTTTCTTTTTGTGCATATTATGTTGATCATATGCGCATATAACCACAATGTTTGACGTTTTAAAAGTGTTTTCATAGAATGTTTTAAAATTAAATATATAAAAACACAATCCATAGATTGTCCAAACACCAATAGGGAAATCACATTTCAAAATAAAAAAAATTTTTTTTTAATAGAAGATACTTCTTAAATTAATGGGTTCTGAAAATCAGAAAACAAAAACTTAATCTTCCAAGGAGATGATATACGGAAATAAAATTTGCTATTTTAAATTGGGGGTTGAAAACGCTACCGGGTTGCAAATTTCCAACTATAAAATTCTCTTCACTGATACCTTGCAACAACTTTAATACATTTTGGTTCTTTCAGCATTTTTTATCAGGGAGAAATTAATTATTCAAAAAATATAAGCGACAGTTTAAGTTGGGGGTCGAAATTGCACCCCAGCAGTTTCCAACTATAAAATTCTCTTCACTGATACCTTGCAACAACTTTAATACATTTTGGTTCTTTCAGCATTTTTTATCAGGGAGAAATTAATTATTCAAAAAATATAAGCGACAGTTTAAGTTGGGGGTCGAAATTGCACCCCAGCAGTTTCCAACTATAAAATTCTCTTCGCTGATGACCCATAATAGCTTTAATGTATTTTGGTACTTTCAGGCAATTACTATCTTATATTCAGCTTGTTTACTAAATTGTGTAGCATTTTAAATACTTTATCTACCAGTGTTTAAAAATATCAACAGTAGGTTTATATGTATAACTTCTCCAATACGATTAATTTCGGTTTGCACCATACATAAAACTAATTATGTAATTTAATAATTGTTTAGACAAATTTATTCAATTGAAAATATGATTCTTACGACTATTATAGATAAATGATTAAAATTGAATCCACAATGATATATGATTATATATGATTTTGTTAATAAACAGATACATACAAAGGCAATTATAAAAGATTTTCCAAAAACCTGAAAATTATTGCTGATAGCGTGTTATTATTTTATTTTTGTTGTCATCACAAATAGAGGAGATGCTGTTATCTTGGAAATTGTTTGTTTAATCTGTCGCTCTTTTAACATATTCTTGCACTCATATGCGAATCGAACTGTATTTTTAAAGCAAAATGCCAGAACTAAAATTATTAACAGACCAACAGAAACACTTTTACAGAGAAAATGGGTACATAAAACTGGACAATGTATTATCTAGACAAGAAATAGACGAAATTTTGGAAACGTATGATAAACTGTTTCAACGAAAACAACGTGAAAATGAAAAAGGTCTTGAAGCTGCATGGGGTGGTGATGAAGTAAAGAAACTCAGTGAGGGTATCAAAGCAAGTGTAAGTGTATTTCAAAAATTTCATTTGCTTCGGAAAAAAGTTCAATTACTTTTATTATTTTCAGGTGAAATCAATTCACAATCTACAAATGCACAATGCAGTATTTACAAGACTTATCACACATCCAAAGTTATTGGATGCCCTTGAGGACATCATGGATACGCCGGATATACTTTTGCATCACACAAAGGCCCACATAAAACCTCCCGAAAAAGGGGCGCCGTTTCCGATGCACCAAGATTATCATTATTTTCCTTACAAAAAGCATACCATGTTGGCTGTTTTCATTCATCTAGATGATACTACTCCAGAAAATGGGGGTCTTGCAGTTTATCCAGGAAGCCACAAACTTGGACCTCTGGAAGACTATGGATTAAAGGAGGATAAAACTGGAAAGTACCATTATGTTGACCCCCAAAAGTACCCACTGACCGGAGCAACCCCAGTACATGCGAAGAAGGGCGAGATTGTTATATTTTCGTATCTTTTACTTCATGGATCCTTCCTGAATTTATCTACGAAAACTAGAAGGATGTTTTTGTTACAAGTGAGAGCTGCTGATGACGAACCCACGAGAGATACTCATAAATCTCCTTGCCAAGATTTGGTACTTCGAGGGAAAAATGTTTCCAGGGATGCTAACATAGCCAACAGACATGAACACTGAATTTTCTCTTTTAGAATTAATGTTACATACATATAAAAAATGACCCAAATATAATCTCACTTTTTAAATTTTGATTTATTTATTTTCCTTTTAGGTAATTATAACTACACTTTGCGCTCTTTAAAACTATCCCGCGAATTCAAAATTTAAATTTGTGTATATAGGGTTGCATAAGCTATTGCATCATGATTTCTAATTTTCCTGGTTTTAATTATCTTTTAATTAACTTATTATACTCTATACAACCCAATAATTTTCACCCGAAAAGTGGCATAAATGGCTTATTTATAAGTATATAAACGTATTATAAGACTACACCTATATGTATACAATAAAAATGAAACACAAATGCAAAGATACTATTTTTTTATTGATAATATACCTATATTTACATTTTTACATTTTTAATGTAGCCTGTTATTTCCCAAAACCACCTCTGCAGTTTGGACTAGATTCTATTATTTTATCACTCTCTTGCCACTGCTCTGGTGTCTTAGCAACAATCGATAAGGCATGGACACCAGATTGTAATTCGTCTTTCAATAAATTATTTACCAACCGGTGACGTTTTATTAAGGGCAGATCTTTAAATTTTTCTGAAATTACCACCACTTTAAAATGGGTCTCTGACCCTTTAGGAACATTGTGCATGTAAGATTCATTGATAACTTCCAAATGCGTAGTATTTAAGTTTGTCTTGAGTTTATTAGTTATCGCACTTTGTATAACTCCACTAGATATAGACATTTTAGTTTTAATACCTACAAAATGATGGGTTATTTACATTTTATTAATGGTTTCAAACCAGGACTATACCAGTAACACTACGATAAAGCACACTGCATTTGTGCAGTATAATTCTCATTACAAATATTAGATTTCTTTTGTAATGTGCGCAAAATTACAATATTAATTACTAGATTACAAAAATATAAAGCAAGCATTACTTGTAAGCGTTGAGAACTCGTTTATTTTTATTTTACGGTAAATAAATGACAGAAAATTGTAAGCATGCGTTGCGTCATTTTAAAGATACCGCACTTTTCAAATATGCACATAGATAATAGATCTACAAAGGGTAATGAATATGCATTTACCGCTGAAAAAGTTCTTGCAGTAGGCTGTGGTCAGCCATCTTTTAACTATTTATTATTATTATTTTATGATTAAAAGCAACGTTCCCAAATTATAATGAATTTTAATTAATTTCTTAAATTATTTTCATGTTTCATTAATAAATTTCAAATGGATAACGCGTTATTCGTTATTTTGTTAACGAGCATGACTGTGTGAAGACGAACAAAATAACGGTATTAAAATAACTTATCAGGTTCAGTTGTTCCAGTTCCAGCTACGGCAGTGTGACAGTAATTTTGTTGATTAATTTGTGTGATAGCAAAGGACTATGTGTTTTCGAATAAATAATTACAAATAAGTGAGGTATTTAATTATTCTCTGCATTGTGCATAATTTTTAATAATTATTCGAAGACTATTTTGTGTTGTGAAGTGTAAATCAACCTACTGGTTGCTACTGGCGTCTTGTCCAAAGTAAACTCTTTTTTTTGTAAAAATATTAAAAAAGTCATTTGTATGATTATTCTGATAAAAACATACTGAAATGAATGTTGTTTGACGACAGTCAGAAACAGAGCAGCAGTGAAGAGACTACACAAATCTACAGGAAAAGTAGGTTGGAATTGTAACCATGAATAATTTTATTTCTTCTCAAATGCCATATTTACAAAACAACTTGCCAAATGAAGGTAGATCTGAAAGTTCGCGGACCAACGCGTCATCTTTCATGATTCCTCTTAATAATTTACATCTAGGAACTTTACTTCGACAGTACAGTAGCCCTACTCAAAATAATGTGATATCATCAAATACTAGCAATTACAGTGAAGATAACAATGGTAGATCTCAACAAGTTAGTAGAAGAATATCTTTATCGGCCCTTTTAGGGCCACATAATGAAGGGGACCATAATAATTCACAACAAAGCAATAATTTGGCAGACAGCGTTGTAATAAATTTAGAGAACGCTCCAAACACCAACAGATTGCAAAATAATCACAATCCTACTCCTGAAACTGGTGAAAGTACAGAAAATAACGGAGAAGACAGTTCTACTGCTGAAACTTTAAGGCTTATTGAAGCACATCGATCCTTGCAAGTAAGAATATGACATTTAATTTAACATATAGGGTGTTACAAAAAGGGGTTGTATTTACCTTGCTTATATTTCGTGAACGCTCTAATAATTTTGACAAACTTGCAATTTTCGTTTACCAAAATATACTTTTAAAGCCCTGCATTTGCATTCTTTGTTTCATAAATTTATAATTAGCATGTTTCTTGTTTTTTGGGTCAATTTTATTTCAAGCACATTAACGTAATTTTTTGTTACAGATTTTTTTAAAATATATCCCCTTTGTCTTAATTCTCCTTTTAAAATGTTTATATGATAATGGACATGATATTTTAAATTTCATTGTCCTATTAACAACATTTACGCATTGCAATTCAGTACTTAAAAAAGAAACAGCAAAGCAGAGTAGAAGAAACTTATCAAAGCTATTCTTGGCTGTGATTTATATTATTGTCTGTTTACTTTTCATTCATTATGTCCAGAAAAATGATAAGTTATATTACTATTTACTTCTTGTACCACCGCTGGAACTCCCTTCATCAGTTTGGGACCTAATTTGGACTATTGCAATGGCCGATTTCATTTTAAAACTGATAACTATCGTTTTTAAAATCATTTTAGCTGCTCTACCAAGCCAAATTATCCAGTTTAAGAAAAGGGTAAGTTAGCAAATACTTTAATATTATTTTTAACATTGTATAAAAGTTTTCAATAAAGAAACTTAATCCACTTAAATGTGTTTTTATTTATTTTTTGTGTGAAGAACAAAAACTTGTTAATATTAATGATAAAGACAACTGCATGATACTGTTTTAATAATGTAAATCAATCAAAGAATATCTAACAAATAAAATAATTTTCAGGGAAAATATTTTTTGTTTTTGGAAGCTGTTTCTCAGTTATATAGAAGTCTGGTACCAATTCAGTTGTGGCTCCATTTCCTGTTGGATTTTTATCATGGTGCAGAAAAATTTGTAGGTGTGATACTTTCAGCAGCTTATATGGTTTCCAAAGGTCCAGACCTTATGAGTCGCCTTAAACTATTTAAAGAGTCTCTTTTTAAATTACTACGAAATATCGTAAGCAGTTAATTAAATGCACAAGGTGGCTCAACTAATTCCTTTCTTTTTAGAGTTTGGGCTCGTCTCCAAATAAAGATCAGTTACAGATGGCTGGTCACCAATGCCCTATATGTCATGATGAATATGACACACCAGTCCTTTTGACTTGTAAACATATTTTTTGTGAAACATGTGTAACCACATGGTTCGACAGGGAACAAACTTGCCCTCTGTGTAGGGCTAAAATTGTAGACGATCCCTCTTGGAGAGACGGATCGACTACATTTTTTATACAGCTGGTTTAAAAAAAATCTGCACCAAGGGCTGTTTCTTTTTTTTTGTATATATGTACGTGTAATTTTTATCAATAAACAAATTTTATTTACTTAATTTGTGCCTTTTGTATTACATTGTATAAGTTAATTTAAGTGGACTATGGTCGCGTTAGGCTTATCGATAATGTTATCAGTTTGATGTAATGTTTGTACACATGCCTGTAAATAAAATAAAAAAGATATATACATAGCATAGTGTGTTAAGATAAAAAAATAAAGTTTATGTCCAATGTTAATGACCCTTTATGCGGTCTAATGCAATTGTTGATGTTCGTTTTTTATACCAGGGTGGGCAATTATTTATTACTATTTTTGGAGTGGTAATGTTATTTTCGGTACTTTCCGGATTTAATATGATTTACTGGGGTGGGCAATGTTTATTTTATTAGTACTAATTTTATACCAAAAAGAAACCTTTTTTGATAAGGTTTCGAAGTCTGTATGTCTACATGCATACAATAGTTAATTATTATTATGAAACTAAAATATTTCCGCGATTTCGCTAATCAACGGTGAAGCAAATAATTCGTGTCTGACGCATCCTTTACGGTGAGGTGGAAGTAAAAACTTGCTTCCGCCCATACGTACCGCGTTGTTACCCCCTCTTCACACTTGTTAGCAAGCGAATATTGCATAGTTGCAGTCGTTAAGGCTATTATTGCCGTCTTTGTATACGAAAACTTTTAATAGCTTAATATTAAATATGAATTAGTTTTATTGATGATAAAGACCAAGCCTCGAAGCACAACACAAAAAATTGTGTCTTTGTCTGTACTTATTTCCAAAAATTGGCTGCCAAAGCAGAATTGTGCAATAATTAATATAAATCGTGATTAACGTCTTTGTTTTAGAATATAAAAACTAGGATTTTCCATAAATAATATAATGCTTTATTTGTGAACGAGTACAGAGATGGTTTACATGTATAATGAAAGAAAAAAAAATAAAATAAAAAATGCAATAGCTTTCTACAACAAAAGAAAGCATTTAAAATTATCTACAATCAGTACATGTTAACGTAGTGACATGATTCATTTGATAACGTTACGAAAATCTGTTTGGAGATTCTCAACTGGTAAAAGTTCTAGATCGAAATACACTATTAAAATATACACGTAACAAAATATTTACATATAATAAGCTATGCAAACTGATCAAGAAAGTATTACTGCAAAGGTATAGATTTTTTACAAAACATAATATTATTCTACGCAATACAAGTTGATGAAATAAATAAAACTATATTTACAAAATTAATAAGTAAAAGCTTATTCACAAAAAGTACACGGTATGCGAAAAATTAAGTGATGCAAATTTATTTTAATTTTTTATTTCTTTTTATTGTTACGTTCATAAAATAATTATCCCTACAGCCTTGTGATGTGCATTTACCGGCTATATGTTTTTTTTTTCTCAATTTTCTAATTTATTTAGGCTGTAGTAAACTAAAAAATGTTCAATATACAGAAACAATTAATTTAAATAAACCTTTGGCGAGAGTTATATAACGAATTAATCTAATCACATCTAGGTACGTAATAAAATAGATGATAGGTAGCCAAAAAACATGCATTTAATGGAATTTCTATAATTTTTAACATAAATTTAATTTGTACATCCTCATTCACGACACAGCCTAAAATTTGTTTTTTACATCTTTGGCTACCTTATTGTTTAAGTTTTGTGAGTATGTTTTAACATTAAATTACTTAAAAAAAAGAAACCGCCATTCATCCATTCTTCGCGTTCTCTCGTATATATTTAAGACCTTTGTAAAATGTACAATAAAAGCATATTATAATTAACAAAATGCACACACCAAACAAAAGCAATCATCCACATACAACAGATCCAAATAATAGTAACTGGTACATATACGACCAATAATGAAAATAAATAGAACGAATCGAAATAAATATAATAACTAAATAATCATTAACTAATTAAAACGCTAAATATATACCCAAAAGAAAAGAAACAAAAATATATACACACGCGTGTGATGTGTCACAAATAAAATTATCTATTTAGAATAAAATTTCAGTACTCGTTCAACTGTTTTTTCACAACAGTCACATAGAGTAATGTAGCATTTTATGAAACGTCAGAACATTTCACGAAATGCACCGAGTTAATTAAAATTCCATGTTAAAAATTCCTTGGTGTAGCCTGTAAAATGTTCAATACTTTTCAAGATATGCTTTGCCATTAAAAATAGTTCAATACTATTATAGACTGGAAAAATGTTTTTGTTTCCACTGACCATTTATTAGTTGCATTTCACGAAACGTTTCGCGTCTCCATTTCACGATACGATTTCATTTACGTCAGGAAACAATTCGTGACGTAATACACTGCAGAACGAATTAAATGTGGGACCTTTTTTGACGACTAATTTTCGTGAAATGCATTATTACATAAAGTTGCTACGACAATATTTATCAGTTTATTTGACATGTACAATAAACGTAAGAACCGTCGTAAAGTAGAAAACGGGTTTGAATGCCTCCTGGCTTGTTAAGTAAGACTAACGCTAAATAGGATGACTTTAATACACATTTATAAAGTTCACACATGCAATTTTACACCTCCAATCGCTTTAAAGCAACCTTAAAAAAGACATTCTTTCAAAAATCATAATTTACTTTACTTTATAGACGTGCTCCAAAGTCAAACACATTTATCGTTTCGTTACTGTAACCATTTTCAACTTAGCGAAGCTCAATTTATAGTTGTTAAAGTTAGCAATGCTGCTAAAATCGCTTGTCGTTTTTAACCTGGTGCTAAATTTAGCACCCTGTTAAAAAAAAGTCGATAGTTTCTTACGTTGATGATAAAGACAATGTATTTAAAGGGAGGGAGTATAGCACAATTAGTACGACAAAGGGACATTTATCCACATTTAGATATCGAAAAATTCTTGCAATTTTCTGATCGTAGATCGCTCCAACAAGCACAGGTCGAAATCGAACGTTCGCGCAGACACTTCGTACTTCCCCGTCTTGGCAATCAATTCCACGACCTTTTGCAGCTCGTCGTTGTCCTCCAATGTCATTATTCTCTGTTGGAGATCCTTTAGACGGTTCATGTATGCTTCCCTGTTTTCATCGTTTTCTCCGGCATCTTCATCTTCCTGTGGTGCAGGTTCTTCGTCAGTTTTCACCTCATTATTAGCAGGTACAACTTCTTCTTTTACATCCGGCTCCTTATGTTGATTATCTTCCTTTTCGTTTTCCTTTGTTTCGTCCTTTTTAATTTTCTCCACGGGTTCGTTTTCGTTCTTTACCTCAGACTTGCGTTTCAGTTTCTTGCTCTCCTTATCCCCTTTTGATTTTTTCTCTTTCTTTTCTTTCTTGTGTTTCGTTAATGTTTCCGGTTTAGAGTCTAATTCGTCCTTGATCGGTTCAGGGGGCGGTAAATGTATCTCTTCGTGTACACTTACAGGGGAAGAAACTGAGCTGTCTGAGTTGACCTCCTTCTTCAATTCGGGACTCTTTTCAGTAAACTTGGGGGTAGAATATTCGTTTTTTAGTCTCCTGCTTCTTTCTTCTTCAGCCTGAAAGATTTCTTTATTTTCAAAATTTTTATCGGAAGAGTTCAAGTTGACTGCTGATTCTTCTGATTTATGAGATTTAGATTTGCTTTCTTTTTTCTTTTCTTTATCCTTTTTATCTTTGTCTTTCTTTTTGTGTTTATGCTTTTTTTCGTCGTTTCGTTCAGATTTATCCTTTTTAATGAGATCCTCAGACTCTATTGTTGGGGTTTTAGGTTCTTTAATAACTTCCTTGTTCTTCTCCCTCTTTTCTATTTTACTATGAGGGGGTACAAAAATGTCCTTTTCTTTCTTAATTTCCCCTTTATCCTTTTCTTTGTTGTTCACTTTGTTCTCTTTAGAATCACTGCTTTTAATGAAAGATTTTTCTTTATTTCGTTTTTCAAAAGTGTCTTTGTCATATCTTTCCTTTTTCTTATTGCTGCTTTCGATGGCCTGTAATTTTTGTTCAGATTTTTCCAGCTTTCTCTCTTTCTCTTTAAGGAAATTTTCTTTCTTCTCGTCCTGTTTTATGACGGGGCTAGGAGGAGTTTTGGGACTCAGATGTTTAGGTGATGAACTCCTTGGTCTCGGCGATTTTTCCTTTTTTTCTTTTTTTTCTCGGTTCTTTTCATCTTTGTCTCTTTTCTCCTTTTTGTCTTCACGATTTTTCTCGCTTTTGCTTTTCTTTTCACATTCTGCTTTGCTTTTTTCTTTGACTTTATCTTTGTCTTTTGATTTGTGTGAAGAATGTTTCTTTACTTTTTCCTTATCTGTAAGTAAATTTTTCAAATATTTTAAGACTTCTAAAAAAACCTTACCTTTCTCGTGTTTTGATGTCGACAATTTATTGTTATCATCTTTTGAAATGTTATTTGAATTACTTTTGGGTTCAGAAAAGACCTTGGTGGTTGTTTTTGTAATTGGAGTTCCAAACAATTCCTGAAAGCTGTTAAAAATGCGAGGTTCCTCAATCTTAGTCTTATGCTTCCTGGGGTTTTCACCTATACTAAGCTTTGGTTTGCTTACGAGCTGAATTTTATCATCAGGATGTGACGATTTTTCGTGATTTATATCATCTGATGTAGCGGAGTTCACAATCTATAAGGAAGTCCTTATTACATAAAAAAAATAGTTAAATACCTATTTTCCTTTACCATTCCACCACCTTTTAATAGTTTATGCCGGAATTCTTCAGAAGGATTATTAAACACAAACTTTTCCTTTTGCAACTTGCAAATAGCAGGACCAGTTGGTTGTAAAGTTAAATCATAGTTAAAAGTTATCTTTTTTGGTTCATCTTTGTTCCTCAAGTAGATTTCAATGGGTAAGGTGAATCCTGCATATCCCGACTCTTTTACAGAATAGGGAGGCTCCTTAACAACTAAAAATGACCACAATCAATAATGTTTTAGTTACTATGGCATTCTTAAATGCACTTAGACATATTCATCAACTTTTTTATTTTGAAAATAGCAGTGGTTATAGGTAATAATTATTAACCTCGTTTTGGTTTTTGGAACGTTTCATGAAGGTGAAAAATAACTTTTTCAATGTAATTTTGAATATTAGCATTATCACATCCTCTAATAAACACCTCCCAATCATGGGTGAAACCCTCAGGAGTCCTCTTGGTTCTAATAGCTGCTTCATGGCCAATTTCTAACGTTATCTTTATGGACATGTCTTATTTTCCTACATATTTTTCATTTTTAAGTTGCCTGGAAAATATTTTCTTGATAAACTGATAATTTTTAGTTTGATACGTTAACTATTCATTACATTTAAATGACTCCTTACTAATCCCTTCAAAGCGTAATTTTCCATAAAGTGTTGCTAATTAGGTCTTTTAGTAAACATTAATGAAAAACCAAAGAAAATATCACAATATAAGCAAAAAGTGTCCCACGCAAATTACTACCTTGGAGTTTATCTTTTTTTTCTCTTTTCTGTCACTTAATTGTCATTGCTTTGCCAATTGTCAAAGAAGTATCTATGTTAAAGAAGTCGATCACCACTATTTGTATTATACGAATTGGCAAAACAACACTAACGAAAACAGAAATATCTACGTAAATTTTCAAATTTTTAATTAATTAATAAAACATACTTTTGCTTGTAATATTTTATGAGAATATTTCCCTTTACAGATTTTTGTGACTATGAGATATATGAGACACACTGTATATAACACAGTAAGTTGTTTATGTTTATAAGGAGAACAAAGTTGTTTGCTAGTTTCATGTTTAGTGTAAATTTAACAAATTTGTTAGTTTAATCATTATTTGTTTTACAAATTATAATTATTGAAGATTACATTCTTCATTCAAAATTATTTGCGTCAAATGAACATTAAGTTACCATTTTTGTAGGCGTGGTATTACTATTTGTGTTCACTTTTCTGTAGGTATGTGTACTTCTACAGCTCGGCAACCGGTTATAAACGGAAATGGCCGTATAAAAAATTGTTTTGCTTTGTAATGTAATGTGTTGAAGGGTGATTATTTGTTGATTACTGTATAATTCGGATGACATTTTGTTTAATTATCGGATTTATTACACGTGCGCCTGTTCTCTGAAGATATTTTGTTTATTATAAATACAACTGTTATATTACTTATCAATTTCTCATTGAAATGGTGTTATTAATTACAAAAGTGATGGTGTAAAAAAGGAATAGTGATAAGTTTTGACATTTCTAAGAACTTTTGTATTTTCCGTTTCACAAAATCAGGAAGAAGCGTTGCCCTACTAAAGACGTACATAAATAATGCATATAAAGAAGAAACACTAATGTTAATGAAAAAATCCATATGTTTTTGTTATCTATTGTATAGTAAAATCAGTTAAAAAACGTATCTGTATCACGTAAGAAAATATTCCACACAAAAAAGTGAAAGAGATGGTGAGAATTTTTAAGCCTGATACTGAAAACGTCCGCAGCAATAAAATAATGAAGAGTTTGTGAGGTAGTAAATGAAAACTGAAAGTGACATTTATAAAAAAGAAGAAATAGGCTATTATATAGTTTAAAATGGATATTTTATTTCTTTTTTGGTATATCTGAAGCTTCATATTAGTGGCATTTATCAATAATGCCTAATATCATGCAGCAGGACCGACTTGAGCCTTCAAAAATAAGTGTTCCAAGTGTTCATGGCAAAACAAGTATTCAGAATCCAAGAGTTAAATTGAATAACCATCAAAGAAATTTGAGTTTAGATTTCAGGTAAGCTTTTGAAAGTAAGACTATTAATAATTGTATTTGCATAATTGTACTATTAGTCTAGCTTAAGTTTAAACTTCGTCTATCATGTTCAGTTTTTATTTATAACAAATGAATTAGATTACAATAGATAGGGGCCTTAATTATTTTTAATTGACAAGTATGAAAGATTATAGGTATTTAACTGAAATTGTCAATAAAATGTATTGAGGGGTGGAACTAAAAAAATTAGTCAATGAGAAAAATAAACTTGCTGCACAAGGCATTGTATAAAAAGTTGAATTTTCTTGCTACTTTTGACAAAATAAGGCAATATGTTTATTGTAGGTAGGTAGCTGTGTTATTTAAGTTTTCTATTTTGCTTGAATCATTAAATGTTTTTTATTATTGTAAGTAAATACTAAGCGATCTAATTTTCATTATGTGCAGAGTAATTTTAAATTTGATAAGTTGTTAATTAAAATAGTTGTTTTCAGACATAAAGTTTTTTGTTGTCTATTCTAGTTTCCAGGACTTTGTCTGGCCATGTGATACATTTAATGTATATAAATAAATCTATGAAGACCAAAATAAATAATGCAATTTAGAATATTATAATGAAAATGTAATTTAGAATGTCATAGAATTCCCTTATTATTCATTTAAATGTTATATTTGTTTCTTTTCTAAATGACTACAGTTTAATGTATTTCCTTATGGTACTTTGTCCATGCTGATTTATTAATGATATTTTTGGTTTATTAATATTTTCAAAATTATCTAATATTAATTTTTTAATTAGGTGTATGGGTATTGTTTTGCCACCTGTAACTCAGGTGACAGCTGCTTCGAGTATCCATCTTACTCTGCATCATCGAAATCGTAGTTTAGATTCTGCCTTACAAAAAATTCCAGAACTGGACACCACTCCTACATCTGAGCAAGTTAAATCATCAGAATTGTACCCTATTTTTCAAACAAAGGCGTCAAATGAACATGAGGTGATCAGCTTAAGCTCGAACGATTCTGGTTTACCATGTAGTGAAGAAAGTTCAAACACTGAATTAAAATATTTTGGAAAAGAACTTTCAAATTCCAGTGATTTAAGTCACGCAGACTCGGAATCAGGTAGCGAAACTTGTGGAGAATTCAGTAACTATCCGTCGTCAAATTTAAATCATCCAGAAGAAGCAAAAGAGTCCAACAACAAAAAAGTAGAACTCTTTCAAAACACAACGGGTAATGAAAGCAGTAAATCTGGTGGTAGTAAGGCAGACGAAGGATGTGGTGCAAAATCTAATCGGCCGAGAGGTTTGTTGTGGTTGCTTGAAAGCAGAGTTTTCGACGTTCACATGGCCATGTATTACCTCTTTAAGAGCAAAGAATCCGGCGTTTTAACTTATATTGTTAATAAACTCTTTAGTTTCAAAGATAGTGATGTTGATTTTTACCTGCCACAGCTTGTTTGCATGTATATTCAAATGCCTGATTTGGCAGAAGTTCTCCATCGGTATCTCGTTGAAAGGTAAGTAGTTATCTGTAATAAAGGCATCCTTACAGGAGGGAAGGTAATAATTACTGACCGAGTTTGAATCGAGAGGAATGAATGACTGGTGGAAGAATATAGAATACTAAACATTAGATTAGAAACAGTTGGAAAATACTAATTGGGTTGTTTACAGATGTAGAAAATCGGTAGATTTTTCGTTAAAATGTGCCTGGCTGCTTGACGCCTACAACGCTGAGTCTTCGGTCCCTTGTACAAAAAAGTCTCATAGCGTCAAACTAAAAAATCGTATTCTTTCCGACGAACTACGTCCACTACCGTCCGAACCTTCCACTTCCACGGTCAAAACGAATGTGGAACGTTTCCTATTGGCCAACCATCCAAACCACGGCCGTAAAACCCACCAAAGATCGCAAAGCGACGCATCTCCATTAATTTGTAATGCTAAAGATAAAAATGGCTCTACAAGACTGTGCTTAGGTGACATTGCCTCTGGTAAAGCTTTCGACAATGGATGCGTCTGTTTTGAAACTTGTCAGGGTGTAGTTAACAAGCTCAAAGGCCAGAAAACTGATTGTACCTGTATAGTAAGTTGGTGCTTTTATTAAGCTAACCCTTGTTTGCACGTTTCCTGTTTTCTTTTTAATGCAGGCTCCAAGGTTAGCACCTCAACGCGAGTTCATGAACGCGCTGATAAACATTGGTAAAGTTCTCAGTCTTCTTTCTACGAAGGAGGCGAAAACGACAAAACTCGTTGCCGAGCTGACTTCCCTTAACTTAAACCTTCCTGCACGCGTTTGGTTACCCTTTGAAAACCTTAATCCCCATCACATTGTACGCATTCCGCCGCAAGTGGCCGTCGTTTTAAATTCCAAAGATAAAGCTCCTTACATTATCTACATAGAAGTGTTAGAAGTTCAGGATCCTTGTACTTCCAGTGTACCTCAAAAAATCATGAACACTTTACGTTATACAAAGTCTGAAGAAAATTTGTCCTTAGAAACCATGTCTTTGTCTAATTTCACTGGCTCATATGAAGATGATCCGGAATGGAGTCAGGAAGACGATGACGTTTCCCAACAGTATTGTCAGTTGGGGAAGCCCCGAGATCGGGACACTATTTCTCAGATGAGCCAAGAATCAACAGATTCGCGGGAACCGCCACTATTTATTTCGGCTCGCGATGTTAGAAGACGGTTATCAAGTTCTTTTAACGAAGAAAAGAGTAAGACATTTACACATGACCCTGAAGACCCGTCCGCAGCAGCGCTAAAAGAACCGTGGAAGGAGAAAGAGAGACGTATAAGGGAAACCTCCCCATATGGACACATGAACAATTGGAAATTGCACGCCGTTATCGTTAAATGTGGGGATGATTTAAGGCAGGAGTTGCTCGCATCACAAGTGCTTGAAATGTTCCAGAAAATTTGGAGGATAGAACATGTTCCTCTTTGGATTCGTCCATACAAGTAAGTCAGATAACCTGCATGCAGTTCTGATAATGGTTCTTTATTACATTTTAAAACGTTTTACTTTAGAATCTTGTGCCTGTCCAACGACAGTGGCCTTATCGAACCTATAGTCGATACAGTGTCCCTACATCAGATTAGGAAAAATAGTCAATTATCCTTACTAGAATATTTCAACAAAGAATACGGTCCTTGTAATTCTGAAGCGTTCTTGACAGCACAACGAAACTTTGTGCAAAGCTGTGCCGCCTATTGTTTGATTTGCTATTTAATTCAGGTGAAAGACAGGTAAAAATAGATTATTTTATAATTTATTACGAGAAAATATGTCTTTCGTTTGTCTAGACACAACGGCAACATTTTGTTGCACAATGACGGTCACATAATTCACATAGATTTCGGTTTCATACTGTCTACTTCCCCGAAAAATTTGGGCTTTGAAATGTCGCCATTTAAGTTGACACCTGAGTTCGTTGAAGTTATGGGGGGATACGGGTCTGATATGTTCGAATATTTTAAAATTTTAATCCTTCAGGGATTCGTGGCAGCAAGAAAACACCAGGACATGCTTATACCCATCGTAGAAATTATGAGTTCGAGTAAGGCATTTATTAATTTATTGCAAACTTAATATATTTCTTAATATTTGGAACAAAAACTAATTGTTTTGTTTAGGCTCTCAACTGCCGTGCTTTAGATCTGGAGCTACGACCGTAATGAATTTAAAAAGCCGATTTCATATGGGTATTACTGAAGAACAGTTGCAACAAGAGGTGAATAATATGGTAGAACGAAGCATTAATTCCATTTCAACTAAATTATATGACGGATTCCAGTATTTCACGAATGGTATCTTATAATTCCTCAAATTTGCGCCATTATTTAGATGTAATTGTATATTACATCATATATCATATTCTATGCTTGTCTATTTATAAAAATGATGGGGTCATTAATTGCAAATCAAAATGAATTATATTAACGTTAATTTCTTTTTAACAAATATTCCAGCTTCGGAGTCTAGGGCTTATAATGTAAACGAAATTGATTGAGGCACAAGTGGATGGTACAATGATTTAAAGTTCCCTTAAAACACATGTATTTAAAAAAGAGATTAGCAAATTAAGGAGTAGGAGATTACCTATGTATTGATATTTTTAATTGTACATTGTAGGTAAATAATTCACGTTTTTTATTGAAATGAATAAAATTTTTTATGACTATATATAAAGACTTTAATTAATCTAATTTATTAATAGACCTTTGCTACGTATGTAATGTGATCCTGGGGTGAAAATATCAACTTGATATTTTTCAACGAATACTTTTTTGTTTTACTTATTGGATAACTTGTTCTATTTATACATACAGCAGAAATTATCGTACATATATTAATGGTATTTTCTTAATGCTATTTGTATGTATGTACATATTAATTTATTTATTATAGGAAGATTTTTTTATTATCAATTTATTTTTTGCAGGAACACATTTTTATTACATTAATTAATATTTATTTTTTCATTTTAGTGTGCTTTTTAATTGTATAGATATTTATTGTATTGATTCAGTTTTTTTGAGCTATTTCAAAAAAATGGTTTAATTATAATCGATTATTTTTATTGATGGTTTTTGATTACTTTTTTATAATAATTTACAAACAATTATTGTGGAAAAGACGGAAATATAATGGCACTTATTCCAACTTAATATACAGCTTTAATATATATATATATCTATATTGAACAAGAAAAACGAAATAAAATAGAAAATCGGCTATTCACGATTTTAATAAAAATCATTCCATGATTACACATTAAATGAACATACGGTATACAATTACTTTTAAGGATTAGCTTTTCTACTGTCTTCTTCGTCTTCATCTTCCCAGTCGTCTATCAACTTGTGCACTTCATTTGTGTTCGAATTTTTACTTTCAGTATTTCCTGATTGCTGAGAGTCGGTATCTTCCCATTCGTCAAGGATAATTTTAGCTGATGATGATTTTTCCTTTTTTACTTCCGTTTCCTTTTCGGAATACGACTGGGAAACTTCTGATTCTGAATCAACAGGTGCCACATTTAACACATTATTTTCTTTTTGATTTTCAGCAACACGATCATTCTGAGATAATTCTCGTGTTTCTTCAATATCTGCGGCAATGTTTTCTTCAACAATCTCTTGTTGAATTTGTTGTTCATTAACGTTGTTATGATTTTGAGGGTCCCCAAAAGAGTTATGAGGACTTTCAATAATTACTTCTGTTAAATATTCTTTTTCTGTTGGTTTGCTTTGTTGACCAGCTTCTTCATCGTTGTGATCTGTTTTTACACTTTCATCATCTACAACATTTTCGGGGGGTTTTTCAGTAATGCACGATTCTAAGTTTTCGTAGTTTAGTTGTATTTGTTCATGGATAAGTTCATTATGCTCTTTCTCTTTGTTTTCGTCTTTAGGTACTTGGTCAAGTGACTCATTTGCTATTTCTTCAGAAACTTCTTTTGGTTCTTCACTACTAATTTCTTCGTCGTTTATTAGTTGCTGTTGATCTTCACAATGGATTGGATGTGGTGATGAAAAACATTCTTGTTGTGTTAGCATAGGAGCATCGGAAAGACTTTCATTTGTGGGATCTTCAAGGAAACTATCTTCTTTATCTTCGTTTTCCCCAGCTTCTTCCATATGGATTGTCTCCTCCACCATTCTATTGTCGTCAGTTGGTATTTCTATCTTAGATTCTGACTTTTCTTCGGTTGGTTTTTCTGTTGCTTCTGCTTCAACTTGGATTTGTTCTATTTCCCGATCAGGTTCGACTTGGCCCTGTATTTCAATCTCTGACCGGGGCATTTGGCTGTTTGTTTGGATAATAATGTCTTCTTGCATAAAGATTGGTTGTGATGACGTTTCTATCGGTTTGTCTACTTCAGTTGTAACGACTTTCTGGTCTTCTTTCCTGTGAGAATCGATTTCTCGTTGAATCATTTCAATCGATTCAATCTGGGAATTTGCAGTTTGGGTTCCATTTCCCATTAAAACGGAATTTTCAGAAATAGGGACAAAATTTTCGGGGTTTCGTAATTCAAAAACTCCAGTTTCTGAGTTAATCATTATATTGCCTTGTGTGGTGGTTATAATTTGTCCCTCGTTTCCAACAGCTGGATGAGAATAGAGAACCACAATGTTTGAATTGTCCCCGCTGACGGATTCTTGGTTTCCATCCCCGTAATCATGGTCCGTGAGAACCATAACCAGTTCGTCTGTAGATGCAATGTCGGAATTGCTTAGCATGGTCTGGCTTATGATGGCATTGTGGTTATTACCAGCTTGTGTAGTGCAGAATGTGTGTGTGTCCGTAAGACCTGGTATAATAAACTCGGGTTGGGTCTGGTTGGAATTGTGGGTTGTTGCGGCTGCTGTTAAATGTTGATCATTCGAGTGTAGGATGTATTGTTGATTGTCATCCAAAACAACAATATCCACGAGACCTGTGGTTAAATAAATAAGCTGTAATATATGTATTGTGACTTTTGATTGGTTTTTTACCTAAACTAGTAGCGATTCCACCGGCAACATTAGTCAGCGTTTCAGTTTCTGTATCGTGTCCTTGTAATGTTATTGTCTGTTGTTGATCCGCAACATGAGCCTGTTTTCCGTCTACCTTTACATTCGACAGTATTTTTATCTTGTCTTTTTTCACGGGATGTACATCATCAGGAGTAATGTACTCCTCAGTGATAAACTCCTCTTCTTCTACATCTTTATCGTCGATTTGGTGTTGTTGCTGTTGTTCTTCTTGCGGTTGGTCATTAAACAATGCTTCAACATCCTCGTCTTCCATGTCTTCGAAGGAATCTTCTTCATTAACGCTGACCACGCCATCTCGTATAGCTTCGTCACGATGAAGCATTTTTATATGCGAGAACAAAGTCGAATCATTCTGGAACTTTTTGATGCAATATTGACAATCGTAACTAACGCTGTCGGACTTCCCCGTATGTCCTGTGATCCTCACGTGCGCATTAAAATTATGACGGCTACTGAAGGTCACTTTGCATTCAGGACATTGTACGTCAAACTTGGTGTGATTCATTTGATGTTTCGCCAAATAGTTTTCAGTTATAGCGATATACGGGCACTGATTGCATTTGGGAAAGTCGTGAGATGAAGGTGGTTTGATGCCGTGTTTTGTATACTGATGATACAGCAGCAAATCATATTTACTGTATTTGTGCCCACAATATTTACATAAGCGGGGATCAAATTTTTCATTATGCAAATCGGTCATGTGTTTCCGGTATAAATAGTACAGGACAAATTCGCAAGGTTCTGAAGGGGTGCTGCACTTGTTACAGCTCCACGGACCGTCTTTTTTATCGATTATGGATTTCTGAAAAAAATATTACTTTACAAATTTTGCATACATTCAAGTTTTCAAAAATGAAAAAATCTTGAAGATGTAAAAATTGCGGGATTGAATGCTTTCATACCTGAATTTGAGTTTTTTCTTCATTTACATTTGTCACTTGGACTCTCACTGCAGAAGCTGATGTTTTGCATGTTTGTCCTTTTTCATTAGGTGGTGGAGGGCTGTTGCTGTTGTTCTTTGCCAAAATTTTGAGCTTTATGTTCTTGTTTTTCTTGACAATATGTGGATACCGCTTCAGGACTTCAGTAATAATTTTGCTGTGACTTAAATCTGGCGTCGTCTTCCCAATATGTGTGATATTTACTTTTGTTTTGCTGTTCTGATTTTCCTTTTCACTTATATTGAATCTGACTTTTTTGGTAAGTGGAGCATCGCCTTTGTCGTCGATTTTCCTCTTATGACTTTCTGTAGTTATGCTGCCAGCATCAGAGCTACTTTCGTCTATATTAAACTCTGAAAGATTCGATCTTCGTTTCGTTTCCCTTAAGAATTCCTTGACGTCTTCATGAACAGTAATGATGGTTGTTTTTCCATTTGAAGATTCTTTAGACTTGTCTGCAGATGTACTTGGTTTAGGTTCGTGTTCTTTTGTTAGTAGAGGCTGACTTGTGTATGAAATGTCATCAAATGCTGCATCAAATAGACTGAGAGTCTGAAGTTCATCCTCAGGCCATTCAAATCGGGTTGGCTTTGGTGTGGAATCATACATAGAAAGTGGATCCTTTCGTAACTCTGTGAAACTATTTGCCATTCCCTGAGAATTTAAATTTGGAACAGTTTTTCTTTTCCAAATGGGCAACTTTCGGCCTGGAAGAGGTGCAGGCAAATCTGATTCTGATTTTACAGCTTTTTTTATTGGCAATGTGGGGCTTACATTGTGAGATTTTGTTACTAAGGGTCTCTTGTTGATTTTCTGGGGCTTAAAGGGTTGACTAGGACACTTTAATGCATCCAGTAGTTTTGTAAGTACGGTTATGTTCATAAGGGTAGCAGTTTTGTGTAACTTTTCAAACACTGACATATGAAACTCTAGCATACCTGTGTACATGAAATTTACAATTGGTAAAACCACATCTGCCTGAAGATCTGCCGGCATTATTAAGATATCTCCATGTATTCCACAGGTTTGTTCTAAATACGTAAAGTACTCAGTGCATGCATTTATAACTAATCTGTGCACTTTAAGCTGTACATTTCCTTCAAATTGAAGAGTAAGATCGCAATAGTCTGTTTTGTTAAAGAACATTTGCAGTCTTTGGAGGAAAAACACCCCCCAATTATCCACTCTCACTTGCTTTATTCCCTCACCCATTTTCATAGTTTGTTTTCATAAACAATGCCTAATTAATAGGTGGAAATTGTTCTACGACTCCTACAAGGGAAAATATTTATTTTCAACGGTTTATGTATTTTTTTTCCTTTTGGTCTAAACAGAAAACAAATATGGACGAACCGCTTCTTAAAACCAATCTAATATAACAATTACCATATCTTTAATGTACTATTATAAGAATAGAAAATTCGTTTTACTTTTGTTTTCATATTCAATTTGGTAATTTGAATTCCAATACCTTTTTTAAAACGAAAATTTCAGCTCCATCTTGCCACTTTCTTGTACATATAGAACATACACAACATACAACATTTTATTAATACTTCTACGTAATTATAGGTGGCGCTTGCTGTACGAAAAGGTATCTCATCCAGAAGTGAACTAATAATAAATAACGAAATTAATTGAAATTATTATGTATATTTTAATTATTAGTACTAGAAAATGAAGAAGAAATTTATTTTATTATTAAATGATATTTATTGAAACAAAAACTACTAATGTATTAATTAAACACAACTATCTTATTTTGTATAAATAATATTTAAGTTTCTTCAATAAATTTATATTAATAAGTTGTTATAAGTTAAGTAAAATATTTCATTAGTTTTTTTCGTTAAATACAAAACTACCGTACAAAATGTATGGAACAATTTTTAATTGTTTTTAGGTTGGTAGTGGACAAACAGTGTTTTTATAGATACATTCGCATGCAATTGCAAGGTTTTTAACCAATTGAATTTGAAGTGTATCAACAAATAACTTTTATTTAGATAATTATGTATTTATAAAGGTTTCAAGTTAATTTTTTAACTTTTCGAATATTCCTATTTAGTAAAGTATCACTTAAATAATTTGGTAAGTTATTGGAACTCATTTACCTCATTTTCATCTTCATGCTCTTCATTTTCCAGATGATGTGGGATTCAGCATTATTCCTGAGTACTTTAACACCAAAGTTTTACGTTGCATTGACGGGAACATCGTCTTTAATATCTGGTTTAATTTTGATTTTTGAGTGGTGGTATTTTAGGAAGTATGGGACTTCTTTCATTGAACAAGTCTCTCTTAATCATATTAGCCCTTGGATCGGGGGTGTAGAAGAAAATGGTAGTAATAGTAGTGGTAGTAGTTCTTCCGTGAGTCCCCCGAACAGCGTTCCGGAATGCAAGGTATGGCGAAATCCGTTAAATTTGTTTCGTGGGGCTGAATATCAACGATTCTATTGGGCCACCAACAAGGAGCCTTTAACCTATTATGATATGAATCTGTCTGCTCAAGATCATCAGACATTTTTCACTTGTGAAGCTGATATTGGGAAAGCGGAGTATGAAATAATGCAAACAGCCTGGAGAGAACGCAATCCTATAGTTCGTATCAAAGCAGCCAGAAGGGCCATTGAGCTGAACAGCGAATGTGCTCCAGCATACATACTTCTTGCTGAAGAAGAAGCTACAACCATTACTGAAGCAGAAAAGATATTCAAGCAGTCCTTAAAAGTCGCCGAAATGAACTACAAAAAGTCTCAACAGATACAGCATCAAGGATCTGTACTGGAAGCTCAACACAGGAGAGACACAAATGTTTTAATTTATATAAAGAGGCGTCTTGCCATGTGCGCGAGACGTCTGGGGAAGCTCAAGGAAGCTGTCAAAATATTCCGTGACTTAACCAAAGAAGTGCCCCCCATTATGAACGTTTTAAATATTCATGAGAATCTTATTGAGGCTCTTTTGGAAATGCAAGCATATGCTGATGTTCAAGCTGTTCTTGCAAAGTATGATGACATATCACTTCCAAAATCGGCGACCATTTGTTACACTGCGGCATTATTGAAAGCTCGTTTGGTGGCGGACAAATTTTCTGCGGATGTGGCCAGCAAAAGGGGCTTAACGGCCGCAGAAATGTCCGCTGTAGAAGCCATACATCGAGCGGTCGAATTTAATCCTCACGTTCCTAAATATTTACTTGAAATAAAACCCTTAATTTTACCCCCCGAACATGTTCTTAAACGGGGAGATTCGGAAGCCATAGCCTACTCCTTTTTCCACTTACAACATTGGAAAAACATAGAAGGTGCTCTAAATCTCCTGCATTGTACTTGGGAAGGCACGTTTAGAATGCTTCCATATCCTCTGGAGAGAGGGCACCTGTTTTATCCTTATCCTACCTGCACTGAATGTGCGGATAGGGAACTTCTGCCCGCTTTTCATGAGGTTTCTGTTTACCCTAAGAAAGAATTGCCCTTTTTTATTATCTTTACTGCCGGTTTGTGTTCGTTTACCGCCCTTTTGGCCCTGTTGACCCATCAGTATCCTGAACCAATGGGTATGGTGGCAAAATCCCTCTTAAACTGGATGTCTTTACCCCTATATTATATTTATGAAAAAGTTGAGAACTTTTTGCCATCAAATCTCTTACAACAACTGTCCAGGATATAAAGAAACTAAATAATATTCGTCTCAAATTGTTTATAAACGTTTTTTATCGTACTTAATATTTGATTGTGATTATTTATAGTGTGATAGCGCAAGCGAAACTTGTTTTTGAACTTATTTTAAATTTTATAATTTATTTAAATAAGTAGTATCAGCGAAATGAAACACTTAGCGAACAAAAGTTTTGACAGAAAAGTTTTATTTAGAAACCAACTCACATACCAATAAGATAAGCGTTTGTATTGTTTTATATGTATTTCAATAAAAAGCATGACAAATGTTAAAACTGCATCTAGTGCTGAGCAATAAATACTGAAAAAGATCTGATTATTTTTCTCTGAAAACAACGAAACTAATTTATTTAAAGATTGATTAATATGTATAGTTTATGTCCCTTATCAAATTTTGAGTCATCCTAATATCTTCAATTACTACAAGTAACGTCGTAATAATGGCGTCATACGAAGTCAATGTTGACAAATGTTCCCAAAACATACGGATTAAGCGGAAAACGTTTAGGTTAAATTATTTAACGGCAAGTCATAAATACGACTATTATTTACACTATATTTGTTATTAAAAGAGCAATTTTTTGAGTGGTGTTTATTGAGTTAGTTTAAAGTTAAAAACCTAAAAAAGAATTCAATAACAAATACAAATATTAAGTAGCAAACTAATGGCAACCCTGCCATTTTTTCAAGTCTGCCAACTGATCAATATAAAATTACCTGCTAAATTTAATTTTCAACACTAAAATTTATCTAGGGAAATCATTCCTGCAGTGGCATTCCTTTTGTCCTGTAATGACGCAATGAATTACGTTTCATAAATATCTTGCCTAATATATATGAAACAAGCACCCTGTATAGCATATAAAAATATAAATTTGTTCTAATCTAAGAGCAAGGACCAGCTATCAGATAAAAGTTTCTAATTTTTGTGTGTTGAGATAACATTACCAAAAATACGCACGTCCACATAAATGCTACATACTTTTGATATGTTTTTAATTTTGTGGTTTGTTATCCTGTTGTATTTTCGTTTAGGCGGGTACTTAAGCCTAATCAAATTACCGCGACAACAAATAATTAATGGAACAATTGTGGCTTCCCCTTTTCCTTTAAAGCCCCTTTTGCGCCGAAAGAATGTTAATCGTCAAATCGTTATTATGCAAACAACTTTTAAATAGTCGATACAGATAAAGAAGAAAAGAAAAATGAATTGTCGACGTCTGCTCTTATCTTTTACTGCTCTTTTATTTTTCGTTGTTGTGTGTGAATGTAAAAAACCGGGAACATGTCCTCCAATATTATATTCAAGTGTTTGCAAGCACACTTGTTTATCTGATTACGAATGTCCTGGAAGGATGCTGTGCTGTAGAACTTTTTGTGGTGGATCATTGTGTAATCCACCAGTTTCCAGAAGGGTACAGGCTCCCTTAGGTGGTAAGTAAATAATTTTTTGTAAAATTATAATTTTTTAAAATTTCAATAACTTTTTAACGGTTTAGTGAATCGATTTGTAATTTTTACAGGAGTTTTAGAATTGAATGAGGAACGCTCTTCCAAATTTTTATTTGTCTCGTAGCATTTTGACATACCTCCCAAACATCCTTAAGTAAAAATGAATTTATGTTTGTTTCAAATGATTTTTGCCCAGAATGGAATTAGTGTGTGCTTAGATATATGATAGAACAACAGTTTATATAAACAATGAAAAATGGAAAACAAATCAGTGCTAGTTGAGCGATTACAACTGCAAGTTTTTTTTTTCCAGTAAAACCGGGAACATGCCCCAGTAAACCAAGAGGACGTTGGATTTGTTCAAGTAGATGCTCTACGGATCGGGATTGTGGGGGCAATAAAAAATGTTGTAAAAACAGATGTGGAGCGAGAGCTTGCATGAAACCGGAAGAAGAATTAGGACCGGAAATATAAGTTTCGTCATGTTTGTTTTGCAAACTGTGACTTATATTTAGGATCAAAAATATTACTCTTATAGGCTCTGTATACATATGCATAATGAAACTTCTGATTCTGAATCAACAGGTGCCACATTTAACACATTATTTTCTTTTTGATTTTCAGCAACACGATCATTCTGAGATAATTCTCGTGTNCATATGCCTACTTTGCCTTATGGATAATCCGCCACTGAGTTTACCCCCGTGTGAGGCCGGGGTTTAGAATAGCCTCACCGTGGGTCTCAACGTGTCGTAAAAGGCGACTAATGAGACAGATTCCGGAAGTTCGCTTTTAGAATTTTGGATTTTGTATTAGTTCATTGTTTAGTTTAAACATTGTGTCATTATTCAATCGAAAATGTCTGTAAGGGATTCATAAATTTTTCAATTAGGTAATAAAATCGGCACGTATTTTTCGGTGTCTTTTACAAAAAGATTTATACCTAATTGATGGACATATTGTCAATTATTTATGTGTTGGACTTTCTATGAATAGTTCAATTTGTTTACTAACGCTTTAACAAAATCCGTCAAGTTGAACTTTTAAAGGAGTCAAGACCATTGTCTGTGTTACTCATTTTTGAATTCATCATTATTAGGTATTATAATAAATAATGATGATCGATGATATTGTGAAATGTAGGGAAAGAACGAATATAAAGGTAGGAGACGAAAGATCAGTAGAAGATTTTAGGTATCTAGGAAGTAAGATAAGGAGTATGAGGGATATAAAGCAGAGGATAGCGCAGGGTCGCGGCGCTGTACGGGTGCGAAAGATAGACGGTGGGAGCGGCAGAAAAGAAAAGGTTAGAAGCGTTCAAAATGTGGGGTTACAGGCGAATGATCAGGGTACCGTGAATATAGAAGGTTAGAAATGAAGAAATAGTAGGAAGAATAGGAGAACAGAGGACATTATGGAAGTTAATAAGAAATAGGCGAGATAGTTTAGTAGAACACCTTCCTAGTCATGAAGGTCTAGTCAGAGACATATTAGAGGCAGAAACAGAAGTTAAGAGGAGTATAGGTAGACCTAGATTAGATTACTGTACGCAAATAGTTAAGGATGTGGGATGTTCTGGTTTTGCGGAAATGCGAAGATTAGCTCAAGATAGGAGGAGTGGAGGTGCATGTCCAACCAGTCTTAATCAGTCAGTACGACTTTATGATGATGATATTGTAGAAGACTTTTAAACATTTATGATTTATGTAGTAATACTTGCTTGCTAAAAATAAATGAACAAATTCACAACTCAAAATTTGTCAGGATTATCAATGACATTTTCCTTTTTAATTTATAACTGATAAGGTGAGTTGTTTTTATGTTTCTGAAGTCCTTTCTTTGTCGTCTTGATTTACGCCGAAAGTTGTGCGAATTTTTTTATTAAAAGTTCACCGGACTCGATAAACTAACTTTCCAGATGATTATCAAGTCTCTAAATTCAGCTAAACTGTCTCACGTCAAGACACAATTATTTTACATCACATAAAGGACTTATAAAGTTTTACAACGTTTTTATGACATGCCGTTGTTGCCAGTGTTTGTTTTTTTTTTTACGTTTAAGTAATTCCGGACATATTGTACATTGACCATGTAAAGAAAAACAATTTAATTACTGTCAGTACTTATTTGAGTTAATTTTAAAGATTGCGTCAAACAATTCTAATGATTAATTGACTATTTTTATCCAATTAATTTTTCTGTGCAGATGTTACAGCAAATTATTCAACGTTCTTTAGATAGAATTGATATATTGTTTACGCATATGTTTACTATTTGATGTTTATCCTTGTCTAGATAGTTCCTGAAACATGCAATAAATGCACATCATTAAAGAGTTGACGGCATTCAATTTTCAATATATTTGAATCAATAACATTTCAATTAGTTTCTAATACCTAGATTCCGCTCTTTTGAAATTATTTATTTACTTGCACGCACGATTTATATTAATCTGCTAATCAAATATTATATAAAGATGACTGAAAAGGATAAGTAAACGGATATCTACTTGTAGACATTTCTATTATAAACACATTGACTAGTTCAACCCGTTCAAATTTGGACGGATGGTACCATTGTCGATGGTGCATTTTATTTTTTTTAATCCCAGCCTTTTTCCATACCGTAACCTATTTATGATTCATTCGGCGAACGTTTGGTCACAATTATTAAACATCTTATATTGTATTATATATTATATTGTCATTTAAACACGTTCACCACGTCAAAAAGTTGGTGATTAAACGATGTACTGGATTTCAAAGGTGTAAATCATGACTTAACAAATTTGGACAGGGTTTTGGCCTTTATAAGAAACAATTCGAAGAAAAAATTGTAATAAAAGAAAAACTTATTGTGTATGTATTACATCTCCAGAAATATTATCATCGAATAATGAGCCACCAATTAATTTTATAGTACTTACAATAGAATAGGCGTTAAAATGTTATAAAAAAAAAGGTGATGTAAACATCAAAGGCTACATTCAAATAATTATTATACTAATGTTTATGTATATATCTAAGTAAATACTAAACCATAATGAAATAGACAAAAAGTTAATTGGCTGAAGAAATTAATTTCACAGGTAGAGAGAACCACATTAAAGTGGAAACTTTTAAACTTGTTTGAATTACTTGATGGAATGTTTATTGTATTGAAACACGTAATTACTGTAATTATTGTTATAATTTCCTTCTATTTTGCAAAAACAAATTTTTGTCTAAACACGTATCACTTTATGATATCTTGCTGCGTTTTATATCATACAAATAAATAGTGGATATTCACAGCCCTATTCTTAACCTTTATGAAAAAATAAAAGTCAAACAATTAAATTCGTAAATAACCCGGAATTTTACAATGTTTATAAGCAAAACTGGACTTGTGGGGTGACTGCCTCTTTTGCGTATCTATATGTAAAAATTGTGAATCTTCTATTTTGTTAACAGTAAACTAAATATATTAGTTTACCCAGAGACGAATTAAATGTAGAGAGCGCTCTAGACTAGCTCCTCATAGGCGCCCTTCTGGCGGTCATATATTTTGCAAAATACTTTTTTTTTATTACGTATTTCCTTATTTTTTTTTAGGTTTAAAAACTTCCACGCGCGCCCCTTTTTAACCTTGTGCCCCTAAGCATATGCCTACTTTGCCTTATGGATAATCCGCCACTGAGTTTACCCCCGTGTGAGGCCGGGGTTTAGAATAGCCTCACCGTGGGTCTCAACGTGTCGTAAAAGGCGACTAATGAGACAGATTCCGGAAGTTCGCTTTTAGAATTTTGGATTTTGTATTAGTTCATTGTTTAGTTTAAACATTGTGTCATTATTCAATCGAAAATGTCTGTAAGGGATTCATAAATTTTTCAATTAGGTAATAAAATCGGCACGTATTTTTCGGTGTCTTTTACAAAAAGATTTATACCTAATTGATGGACATATTGTCAATTATTTATGTGTTGGACTTTCTATGAATAGTTCAATTTGTTTACTAACGCTTTAACAAAATCCGTCAAGTTGAACTTTTAAAGGAGTCAAGACCATTGTCTGTGTTACTCATTTTTGAATTCATCATTATTAGGTATTATAATAAATAATGATGATCGATGATATTGTGAAATGTAGGGAAAGAACGAATATAAAGGTAGGAGACGAAAGATCAGTAGAAGATTTTAGGTATCTAGGAAGTAAGATAAGGAGTATGAGGGATATAAAGCAGAGGATAGCGCAGGGTCGCGGCGCTGTACGGGTGCGAAAGATAGACGGTGGGAGCGGCAGAAAAGAAAAGGTTAGAAGCGTTCAAAATGTGGGGTTACAGGCGAATGATCAGGGTACCGTGGATATAGAAGGTTAGAAATGAAGAAATAGTAGGAAGAATAGGAGAACAGAGGACATTATGGAAGTCAATAAGAAATAGGCGAGATAGTTTAGTAGAACACCTTCCTAGTCATGAAGGTCTAGTCAGAGACATATTAGAGGCAGAAACAGAAGTTAAGAGGAGTATAGGTAGACCTAGATTAGATTACTGTACGCAAATAGTTAAGGATGTGGGATGTTCTGGTTTTGCGGAAATGCGAAGATTAGCTCAAGATAGGAGGAGTGGAGGTGCATGTCCAACCAGTCTTAATCAGTCAGTACGACTTTATGATGATGATATTGTAGAAGACTTTTAAACATTTATGATTTATGTAGTAATACTTGCTTGCTAAAAATAAATGAACAAATTCACAACTCAAAATTTGTCAGGATTATCAATGACATTTTCCTTTTTAATTTATAACTGATAAGGTGAGTTGTTTTTATGTTTCTGAAGTCCTTTCTTTGTCGTCTTGATTTACGCCGAAAGTTGTGCGAATTTTTTTATTAAAAGTTCACCGGACTCGATAAACTAACTTTCCAGATGATTATCAAGTCTCTAAATTCAGCTAAACTGTCTCACGTCAAGACACAATTATTTTACATCACATAAAGGACTTATAAAGTTTTACAACGTTTTTATGACATGCCGTTGTTGCCAGTGTTTGTTTTTTTTTTTACGTTTAAGTAATTCCGGACATATTGTACATTGACCATGTAAAGAAAAACAATTTAATTACTGTCAGTACTTATTTGAGTTAATTTTAAAGATTGCGTCAAACAATTCTAATGATTAATTGACTATTTTTATCCAATTAATTTTTCTGTGCAGATGTTACAGCAAATTATTCAACGTTCTTTAGATAGAATTGATATTTTTTTAAAATTTTAGTTTCATTACAATTATTAATATAAATATTAAAACTAGAATTTTTTTTAATATAAGGTGTAATACCGGTTGTGAATGAAATTTTTTTTAGATGTTACCTCTTGTACATAAATTATTTTAATTATCGTCGCGTAACGTAGAAGCAGGAACAGGAGTAAAGAGGGTCTGATGTAGAACTAGATTAGATTTTACTGTCCGCAAATAGGTAGGGATACTTGATGTTCTAGTTTTAATGAAATTAGAAAATTGTCTCGGGATGAGAATGAGTTAAGTCTTTGGTCTTATTACCCTAAAATGATGTCGCATATAATGAAAAATACAAAAAAAAAACAATTGCGTGGATTTTGATGCGTTTTGGTGGGTGGTTTAGATGCAGGCTTTAATAAAATTACTATAAAAAAAGGATGGAATGCAATAGTTTCTTCGAATATAGCTTTTTAATTATTACTGAAGAATGACTTAACAAATTTGGACAGGGTTTTGGCCTTTATAAGAAACAATTCGAAGAAAAAATTGTAATAAAATATATTTTGCTGTTCTGATTTTCCTTTTCACTTATATTGAATCTGACTTTTTTGGTAAGTGGACTTCATTTGTGTTCGAATTTTTACTTTCAGTATTTCCTGATTGCTGAGAGTCGGTATCTTCCCATTCGTCAAGGATAATTTTAGCTGATGATGATTTTTCCTTTTTTACTTCCGTTTCCTTTTCGGAATACGACTGGGAAACTTCTGATTCTGAATCAACAGGTGCCACATTTAACACATTATTTTCTTTTTGATTTTCAGCAACACGATCATTCTGAGATAATTCTCGTGTTTCTTCAATATCTGCGGCAATGTTTTCTTCAACAATCTCTTGTTGAATTTGTTGTTCATTAACGTTGTTATGATTTTGAGGGTCCCCAAAAGAGTTATGAGGACTTTCAATAATTACTTCTGTTAAATATTCTTTTTCTGTTGGTTTGCTTTGTTGACCAGCTTCTTCATCGTTGTGATCTGTTTTTACACTTTCATCATCTACAACATTTTCGGGGGGTTTTTCAGTAATGCACGATTCTAAGTTTTCGTAGTTTAGTTGTATTTGTTCATGGATAAGTTCATTATGCTCTTTCTCTTTGTTTTCGTCTTTAGGTACTTGGTCAAGTGACTCATTTGCTATTTCTTCAGAAACTTCTTTTGGTTCTTCACTACTAATTTCTTCGTCGTTTATTAGTTGCTGTTGATCTTCACAATGGATTGGATGTGGTGATGAAAAACATTCTTGTTGTGTTAGCATAGGAGCATCGGAAAGACTTTCATTTGTGGGATCTTCAAGGAAACTATCTTCTTTATCTTCGTTTTCCCCAGCTTCTTCCATATGGATTGTCTCCTCCACCATTCTATTGTCGTCAGTTGGTATTTCTATCTTAGATTCTGACTTTTCTTCGGTTGGTTTTTCTGTTGCTTCTGCTTCAACTTGGATTTGTTCTATTTCCCGATCAGGTTCGACTTGGCCCTGTATTTCAATCTCTGACCGGGGCATTTGGCTGTTTGTTTGGATAATAATGTCTTCTTGCATAAAGATTGGTTGTGATGACGTTTCTATCGGTTTGTCTACTTCAGTTGTAACGACTTTCTGGTCTTCTTTCCTGTGAGAATCGATTTCTCGTTGAATCATTTCAATCGATTCAATCTGGGAATTTGCAGTTTGGGTTCCATTTCCCATTAAAACGGAATTTTCAGAAATAGGGACAAAATTTTCGGGGTTTCGTAATTCAAAAACTCCAGTTTCTGAGTTAATCATTATATTGCCTTGTGTGGTGGTTATAATTTGTCCCTCGTTTCCAACAGCTGGATGAGAATAGAGAACCACAATGTTTGAATTGTCCCCGCTGACGGATTCTTGGTTTCCATCCCCGTAATCATGGTCCGTGAGAACCATAACCAGTTCGTCTGTAGATGCAATGTCGGAATTGCTTAGCATGGTCTGGCTTATGATGGCATTGTGGTTATTACCAGCTTGTGTAGTGCAGAATGTGTGTGTGTCCGTAAGACCTGGTATAATAAACTCGGGTTGGGTCTGGTTGGAATTGTGGGTTGTTGCGGCTGCTGTTAAATGTTGATCATTCGAGTGTAGGATGTATTGTTGATTGTCATCCAAAACAACAATATCCACGAGACCTGTGGTTAAATAAATAAGCTGTAATATATGTATTGTGACTTTTGATTGGTTTTTTACCTAAACTAGTAGCGATTCCACCGGCAACATTAGTCAGCGTTTCAGTTTCTGTATCGTGTCCTTGTAATGTTATTGTCTGTTGTTGATCCGCAACATGAGCCTGTTTTCCGTCTACCTTTACATTCGACAGTATTTTTATCTTGTCTTTTTTCACGGGATGTACATCATCAGGAGTAATGTACTCCTCAGTGATAAACTCCTCTTCTTCTACATCTTTATCGTCGATTTGGTGTTGTTGCTGTTGTTCTTCTTGCGGTTGGTCATTAAACAATGCTTCAACATCCTCGTCTTCCATGTCTTCGAAGGAATCTTCTTCATTAACGCTGACCACGCCATCTCGTATAGCTTCGTCACGATGAAGCATTTTTATATGCGAGAACAAAGTCGAATCATTCTGGAACTTTTTGATGCAATATTGACAATCGTAACTAACGCTGTCGGACTTCCCCGTATGTCCTGTGATCCTCACGTGCGCATTAAAATTATGACGGCTACTGAAGGTCACTTTGCATTCAGGACATTGTACGTCAAACTTGGTGTGATTCATTTGATGTTTCGCCAAATAGTTTTCAGTTATAGCGATATACGGGCACTGATTGCATTTGGGAAAGTCGTGAGATGAAGGTGGTTTGATGCCGTGTTTTGTATACTGATGATACAGCAGCAAATCATATTTACTGTATTTGTGCCCACAATATTTACATAAGCGGGGATCAAATTTTTCATTATGCAAATCGGTCATGTGTTTCCGGTATAAATAGTACAGGACAAATTCGCAAGGTTCTGAAGGGGTGCTGCACTTGTTACAGCTCCACGGACCGTCTTTTTTATCGATTATGGATTTCTGAAAAAAATATTACTTTACAAATTTTGCATACATTCAAGTTTTCAAAAATGAAAAAATCTTGAAGATGTAAAAATTGCGGGATTGAATGCTTTCATACCTGAATTTGAGTTTTTTCTTCATTTACATTTGTCACTTGGACTCTCACTGCAGAAGCTGATGTTTTGCATGTTTGTCCTTTTTCATTAGGTGGTGGAGGGCTGTTGCTGTTGTTCTTTGCCAAAATTTTGAGCTTTATGTTCTTGTTTTTCTTGACAATATGTGGATACCGCTTCAGGACTTCAGTANCACATCAACTAATGCCTTTATCGCGTCTTTATCAGCTTCAACCGGCCTTCCCGAACGTGGTGCATCTTCGACATCAAAATTGCCGGATCCAAATTTAGCGAACCAGTTCTGGAACTGGCGTACTGTCAACACACCTTCTCCATACACATCAGTCAATTTCTTTCTGGCTTGAACAGCATTTTTACCCTTTCTGTAGTAAAACAGTAAGATATTTTTATAACTAGTTACATTTATATACTAGGAATACATTTCAGACTTTAAAAGTTATGTAGGGCGAGGGCAACATTAAAAGAAAGTGACTATAAATAAATCTACAATTGTTAATTGTAGTAAACAATATAAGGCTAAAAGCAAATACGATTTAACGTTGCCCTTACGATAGTAGGTACTTTAGAATGAATGTTACAGGTACGAAGTTTGTACTTCTACAACTATGGATTATAAACGCAAAGATCGATTCGGGAAACTTTTGATATCAGTCAGGGAAGAAAATTCGCATGAGCTTTTCTTTGCAAGTTTTCCAGGTTGTCTTATTTCAACGGTTGACAGTATTGTACCCTGTCTTTTCCTCGATATTACGTAATACGAGTTCTTCATAGATTGACAATTTAAATTTTTCGTTTTGAAACAACTCGTAAATGTTTCCTGAAACATAACAAAATAATAACTTTACTATCTACGCTGTGTAATTCATTATGCTGAACAGGAATATATACATACGTATATATATGTATATTTATGTTGGACACGGATTTTTATAGAATTCTTGGAGTTTACATAAATTTAAAATCAAAACTAGTTGAACCAAACTTAACAGCCTACCCTAATCTATCGCAAAGTATATACGACTTCGACAACATTCACTTCGTTTGTGTTGTCTTTACTTACCCGTAATCTTATAATCCTTCCTAACTAATTAAGCAAAAGCATTAATTTTGTTATGGTTAGAATCATTAGAAAAGGTTACAGGCGAATGATGAGAATATCGTGGATAGAGAAGGTTAGAAAGGAATAGGTATTTGAAAGAGTAAGAGAACAGAGGACTCTATGGAAGTCAATAAGAAATAGGCGAGATAGGTTAGTAGGACACCTTCTCAGGCATGAAGGTCTAGTCAGAGACATATTAGAGGCAGAAACGAGGTTAGGAGGAGTTAGGAGGGGAAGACCTAGATTAGATTACTGTTCGCAAATAGTTAAGGATATGGGTTGCTCTAGCTTTAGGGAAATACGAAGATTAGCACAGCCTAGGAAAGAGTGGAGGTACATGTCCAACCAGTCCTAGGACTGTCGACCTTATGATGATGATAGAATCATTACGTAAGTGACGATAGTGCTTTAGGTTAGGTTCTAATTGGGTTAGGCTAGGCTTGGTTTGGTTCAACCAGTTCTTATTTTCAATTTCAACGGTTTTCGTTCCCAATAAATAATAATTTCTATAAAATAAATTGCAGGACATAAAAAATTTCGTGTACTAATTGAGACGTTTGCCAAATTTAGATCACTTTAAGTACGTCTCCGGAATTTTTATAATATTTCACAAACGTTCCATTAAGCTGAATAATAGGAGTTGTTTTTGATTTATTGAGTCGATGTCTAATTTCCAATTCTTGGAATGTGCCTAAGCGAATGAGTTCAAGTAAAAGAAATGGGCTTAATTAAAGTACCAAGTAATACACTAGAATTTGTGCAAAATAAAGATACTGAAGATAACGAAATTAAAATTCCGGTATTGTCCCTTTTCACAAGGGTTAAAAGGGAAGGACCGTTCCTTTTAATCTAACAAAAGGAGTTTTTAGAAAATACTGTATTTCTGCAAATTAAGCTTCAATATCTCTGCTCTTTCATTATTAAAATGAGGCTTGTTGGGATTAATCCAATAGAAAAATGTCTACTTGTTTACTTGAATGTCTACATTTTAAATATAATTTATAGGGTTGTTCGGAAAGTCATTTCGTTTTTTTTTGTGGAAATGAAAGACAGTTTTCGTATAATAAACAAATACTTTATTAAATTATATATTGACCGTTCTGGTCCAACACCTTTTGCCATCTTTCTGGTAGTAGCATAATTCCACGCTCATAAAATTTTTGGTCTTTGCTGGCAAAAAACTGATCGAGGAGGTTTTTGACCTCCTCATTTGAGGTGAAGGTTTTACCGTCTAAAAAATTTTGGAGTGACCGGAACAAATAATAATCCGATGGTGCCAGGTCTGGAGAATATGGTGGGTGTAGCATTGTATCCCATTCAAGCTGTAAAAGCTTTTGGCGAGTGACCAAACTTGTGTGAGGTCTCGCGTTGTCTTGGTGAAACACTACACCTTTCCTGTTGATTAGTTCTGACCTTTTCTGTTGAAGTGCATCATTCAGTTTGTCCAGCTGATGACAGTAGACTTCCGAATTAATCGTTGTGTTATCCGGTAAAAGCTCAAAAAAAACGATTCCTTTAAAATCCCACCAAACAGACAGCATCACCTTTTTTTGGTGAATATCGGCTTTGGAAATGGTTTGAGCCGGTTCATCTTTTTTGCTCCATGACCTCTTGCGTTTGACGTTGTTGTATACAACCCATTTTTCGTCCCCAGTGATGATGCGCTTCAAAAACGGATCATTTTCGTGACGTTTGAGAAGCGAATCGCAGACGTCAATGCGGCGACACAGATTTCTCTCTGTGAGAACATGGGGAACCCATACATCGAGCTTCGAGGATAATCCCAGGCCTTTCAAGTGGTCATAAACTGTTGAATTTGATAAATTTAACCTCAATCCGATCTCACGTGTTGTTATTCGCCGGTTCACATCAACTAATGCCTTTATCGCGTCTTTATCAGCTTCAACCGGCCTTCCCGAACGTGGTGCATCTTCGACATCAAAATTGCCGGATCGAAATTTAGCGAACCAGTTCTGGCACTGGCGTACTGTCAACACACCTTCTCCATACACATCAGTCAATTTCTTTCTGGCTTGAACAGCATTTTTACCCTTTCTGTAGTAAAACAGTAAGATATGTCGAAAATGCTGCTTATCGCTCTCCATATTTAAAAGGGCACCAACCAAAAACTACTGCGTAGAATTAATTGGAATTTTTCACACACAAGCCTTGCTATATGAGCTCTCAAAGCATATAAAAATTATACGGCTTAAATGTGAAGTTGGGTGCAAAAGAATACAATTAAATCCTCTGTCGGGAAAAAACGAAAAGACTTTCCGAACAACCCTATACAAATCATTGCCAAAATGAGGCGGGTCTACTTAAGGGCTTTTTGGGTTGCAGGCTAGCTTCCATTGAATTCAATAGACGATATTGTTAAGAAAAAAAATATTTAAAATTTAAAAAAAAAAACCGATCATAAGTAAGACAACCCTGCGATATGGAACCGGTGCGCCCCTCTATTGAACGGAACGGGGTATTCCCAGTCGCTTGTTTTAGATCGATGTATTTTCTCGCTGATGCATCTATTACGGGGGACTTTCCGTCGCTTATCGCAGTTTTTCGAAAAAATGACAATCAGTTGAGTAATTAGATAGGCCCCTAAGTAGTATCAGCTCAGGGTCTCACAAATTCACGATCCACCCCTTACTGTTACTTAACATAGGTACCTATGATAATATTCAGTTTGGTTATTAAATTGATTATTATTACAGCTATCATAACAATGTGTTGTTGAAGATTTAGAAAATTTACCCCACATGAATAGTAAATTTTATTGCTACGTTTAGAAATTTTAAGCAATGTTTATGCCAATTTCTTTCCACTGTTTGGTGATTTTTTTCTTCATTGAATTTGAGTTATTTTTACCCGATTATTCTTACCTTGAATGCGTCCCTGAATTTTAAGGAAAATATATTGTAAAGTAGAGGGTTAATAGCCGTGGAAATGTAGTAGAAAATTCCGCTCAGATAAGTTATGATTGTGTATACTTTTAGTAAAGTATCTCGGTTGAAATTTTCTGGAAACTTTGACACGTACGTTGTGTACAGTCTTTGTATATGGAACGGTGCCCAACACAAGAAGAAGGCAATCACCACGGCAACTGTAACAAAAAATTAAATATTTTAGAGGGTACAGAAAACGACATACGGTACATTTTATCATCATCATCATCATCATAAGGTCATCAGTCCTAAGACTGGTTGGACACGTACCTCCACTCTTTCCTATCCTGAGCTAGACTTCGCATTTCCCTAAAACTAGAACAGCCCACATCCTTAACAGTCAATAAGAAATAGGCGAGATAGGTTAGTAGGACACCTTCTCAGGCATGAAGGTCTAGTCAGAGACATATTAGAGGCAGAAACGAGGTTAGGAGGAGTTAGGAGGGGAAGACCTAGATTAGATTACTGTTCGCAAATAGTTAAGGATATGGGTTGCTCTAGCTTTAGGGAAATACGAAGATTAGCACAGCCTAGGAAAGAGTGGAGGTACATGTCCAACCAGTCTTAGGACTGATGACCTTATGATGATGATGATG